TCCAGTTGTGGGCTTTATTGATAACATTGTGGAATGTTTCAATATCAACCTGTTCGAACTGCATTTGTGTAATATTCTCATGTTTCCTTTCTTCGGCTCTTATCCACTCCGCTTCAGCGTTGTGACAGACAGGATTTTGCCAAATTCCTGCCCAAAAACTTCTCAGGTTTTCTCCTGTAGGAAATGATGTGTTTGCTGTGTTACTTGATGTTGTGTGGTTCGTTGTTGATTTCTTTAGTGTTCGATAAAATTGCTTTTCATTGTTCCTGAATCTATTGTTTTGTGTTTTGCGGAGTGTGCATTTGATGTATCTATTTAACCGGCTTTTATATACAGCAAGTTTCTGTTTAAGTGTGTCTAAGTAGTGTGCAAGGTGTATGTTTGGTGCTTCGTGTGTAGTATGTATTCTGTAATCACGAAGTATTTTGTTAACTTCTATTTCCAGTTTGCGACTTCTGTGGCCTTGTATGTAATGAGTTAATCTACCAAGTTTAGCACGAATAGCATCTATTTTGTGTTCTAATCTTTTTTGCCATTTGGGTTTGTAATCCTTGCGAGGGTTATTTCGATCTTGGGTAGATGATAAATTGATTCTACTACCATTAACCTTAGCAGCTGTCCAAGCAGCAGAATATATAATTGTTTGTAATTCGGGAAACTCTATATCTCTAATAACATAATCTGGTAATATCACTTGGTTAATATAATCTACTATTTTTGCTAGTTTTTTGGACGTCCTTTGCTTGGGAATGTAACATCTACTGGTAGGATGTGTCTCGGAGTAGAATTGGAGGGTTTGTGCAAACAATTCATCTATTTCACAGTTTCTTGGTATGTTTTGTGTGTGTGTGTCAGTATTTGCTCGTGGTTGATCTGAACTGTTATCATTTAGTTCTTGTGTAATATTTGTATCCTGTAATACTGAAGTCATGGGTTCCTTATTGGCGATATTTATATTTGTTTGTTGTTCTAGATACGGGCTACTAGTATTCTGATATGAGTTTGGACTGTTCAATCTCCCAATAGATATTGACCCTATTTGGTCTAACTCTTGTTGTGCTGTCAGTTTTATCATTTGTAGTCGTATTTCGGAAATCATCTTATTATTCATTATTACTCTTTTCTGATCTGATATACGTTGTTCTGATAGGTGTGATAAGTGAGGAAAGTGTTGTGTAAATTTGTCCTTCAAGTTTTTCCGCCAAACTGTCATATCTGTCTCCATTTTTGTAGCAATAAAGTAGCATTTGATGAGTGTTTCATTGAGTTCATTAGACCATTTCATTCTTGTTTTAGATTGTCTGTGTATTAGTGGGTCGATTTGTGTAGTTATTAGTGTTTGTGTTGTTTGTGACGTGTAATTTTCATTTTGTAGGTAAATGCTTACTTCTAACCTAATCGCATCGAGTGTAGAAGTTGGTAGTAATTGATTGTTAAGTATAGCTCTCCTTTGGTCGCCCACTCTCTGTTTGGAGACTACCATATCAGGGAACTGCTGGATGAATTTACTGTGTAATATACTCAAATAAGCATTTGTCTCGGTTTCTAAATTGGTGATGATAAGATATGTACGCCAAATGAATTCGTTCATTTCTTTGCTCCATTTTTTCCGCGTACTTTTTGTGCCAGCAGCGGATGATGGATTTTTGGCTAGAGTAGCCTCCGACACAACGTCTGCTGACATCGTTGATGAAATTGATGATCTTAATGAACGTGATGTGAATGATAGCGATGATGGTGTAATTGATGAGAATGTGGATCTCGGAGAGGATGACAATGACACCACTGATGATTCATCATCTGCTGGAGGCACCTTTGCCTGCATTGTATATTTTACTTTTGACCTTGTAATCATTTTTATTCCCACGAGTAGCTAGGGACTAAGCAGGTCGACCACAGCAGAGCCCTGCGTTCACTGTGGCAAGGGTAATTAAAACTGGAGGTCCCCTGGTCTCCAGAGTTGGCATACTCACGACTAAGCACCCCCTTAGCCATGCAGCCCTCGGCGTATGCAACCTTGGCTTGGGTTGTATCTCGTTTAGTCGGACTCTTTGCCCCAGCCCTATCTCGATCCAAGCGAACTAGACCGATATAAGACCAAGGGTCAAAGCCCTCAAGCCCCACCACGGCGACAACGTAGAGATACTTCGGTGGGGTTATTATTATTATTATTATATACTTGAACACACTAGCAGCTTAGAAAGCCGATGCGTGCGTATTAATTGATTTGGAGATTTTGTCGAGTCTGTTTTTAAAAGAATTAACTGTGGGTGCTTTTATCACATTTTCTTTTATATATATAGGTATATGTTGTGAAAAATCTGAAACTATTCGTAATCACCCTTAAAATAACTTTACGATATGTTATGATGGCATAGGATGCCTCTAGATCTCGTTTAAACCAATTTTTGGTGGAAGTTTCAGTGGAAAGGTACATCATCAAAGGAACTTTTATGTTTAACATTCTCTTCTATACTAATATTATAAACTATACTAATATTATAAAGAGTATAAGTTTGTATGTAGATGGTAATCTTTGGAACCGCTGGTCGGATTGCCAACATTCTTTCACTGATAGATAGCTACAATGTTCCTGAGCTATAGGCTATAAAACATCACGCTACGATCAAATGGAGCTGAGCAGCGGGAGAGACCGCGCGAGATTAGCTAGTATTTTAGAAATTAAGGGGGAGCGGGCTCGTTTTACTTCTTTAGAAGGTGTCCAGTGTCCACCAAACAATAAAGTTAGAAATATACAATATAATTTTTTAGGGTTCTGTAGTAAACTAAGAAATTAAGATGAAACATGAAAGAAAAGGTTACTAAACGTATGTGTAACAGCGAAATAAAATTTGCTCGGAATTATTTCACAATTAAGAAAGAAATAAGAAATTCAGAAACACTTAACTTAAATGTTATAGAAGTATCCGCTCAAGCGATCAACATTTGCGCATTCGCTATGATTCATAATATAACAACGTTGCCCTAACCTGGGATTTTCTTCTATGTCGTGGGTGCGTTGACAAACATACTAATTCACTTACATATCCCACCCAGATCCGAACAACGATCCAAGGTACAATTTTGATTGATTGCGTTGACAGCGGGAATAACAAACTTAGCAAATAAATGACTGCATGGTTCATGCGAACAGCCGGCTGTCGCACAACGTCGATTCCCGAACGGGCCAACTCTGTGTGATCCCCGAATTCTAATTAACATGTTAATTCATTATCGTGGAAATGGGAATCTTATGTTTTTCAGGAAATAACAAAAGCTAATAAGCACTAGGTATGTCTACATCACTGGTAGAGTCTTCGCAGGTAGCACCTAAGCGTCTCGCGTACAATTCCCGGGTCGATATCGGATCGATTTTTAAATTTAGAATGGTATGGATATGGTAGTAAATTTTATGAGAAATATTTCATTCATTTTATATAAAAAAAAACCTTATGAATAAATACTTCATGGATAAAAGTATGAAACTCTAACTTAGCAAACAATGAAGCACTGGCTTGAAACTGTATAGAATTTTACGTTCTTATTTTATCTTTCATAATAGAGAGTGATCGATAACCCATTATGACGTCACACACTCAGGTGTTAACTTAGAAAGTACTTAGATACTTAGCTTTACAAGAAACCTTATAGTACTTAGCGACATTGTTCTTATAATCGATCGTTTGCAGGCTGTAGTGCAACGCTGACACAGGTTCGATTCCGTTAACCTTCAATTAGAAAATTAACTCTTTTTACTCTGTTATTGAATAGTACCTAAATTTAAAACAAGAACTATTTACCTAAGTAGTTCTTTATTTATTTTTTAGTATGTAGTGAACAATTACCTACTTAAATATTTGAATTAGATATCTTCACGAACCCACGCACGCGAACCAAACCATCAATTCACTCAAAAACATTTATAAATCTTTTACTAAGCAAAAACTTATCAACGTGTCATAGAGAAAGATCTTAAATACAATAACTTTGAAATTGAAACAACATTTAACATTGAAACAAACCTGCCAATTAATAAAAAGATAGCTTAAAAGTTTGAGTTTGGGTAAAGTTTAGCATGGTACCTGGATAAAGCTGGACTTATGAATGATTATGCTGTTCAAGAGTTGAAGTCGATCGCTTCAGAAGGAGTGCGATCGTTCAGCTGACACAATGAAGTGGCGTGGAGGGTGGAATGGCGCGACTCGCGGCGTATCATTGGCCGCCGCGGACTGCGAGCGTGGTCTAAGTTAATAGCCGACAGCGAGGAGAGAACGAGAAGAAGTATTGCAGCCATTTGTACCCTAAATGATTTGAAAATGGAAAATCGTTTGCAATTTCAACCGCTTTGTTAGGATATTAGTATAACCAAATTATCTTTTTTCTAAGAACACTCTTCGCAAGAAGAGACACCCCTACAGACCAAAGAAGATCCGTTTAAGGAGAACACGACCAAAAAAATAATTCTTATGTCGATGGTTTAGAATTCAAAGACCGTCAGGAGACCTATAGGCCTATAAGAATAATCTATAACTAAACTTTATTTTACTTGTACCTATCTATTCCCAAAAAAATGACTATGAAAATTACTATGAGTTAGAAAAAATTGAATAAAATTTTAAGAAACTTATGACGAAATTTGGTTCCGTAGAACATGTTGAATGAATATGTTTTCACTTACGTTACGTGAACGTATAATAACCAATAATAGGAGATAGAAAATAAAATAGTACCTTGTAACTATAAATTGGTAATACAATAAAACGTTCACATTATGCGAATATTCGCAAGTTATTGCACTCACTTGATTATTAACACATGCGTAATATGAGTACATGCGCTGAATCCCAATCGCCGAGCGCGTATATTAGGGGATGTTCGCCATGACTCCAAGCGAAAGCCTTCACGCTCGCATCCGCGCCCTCCCCGCGCTCGCCGCCCGCCCGTGCCGTCCTCTCAACCGCAAGAGTGCTGGCTGCGGGCGAGTCGAGTCAGCCGGAGGCCGCCGCGCCGCTGACATCGCACCGTCCCATGCAACTCCACACTTTTATCTATTTGACAAACTTTTATTGAGTGACTACAATCTGCAACCATGGATGTGGAGGAGTTCCGAGTTCGCGGCAAGGAGATGGTGGACTACATCTGTACGTATATGACGACGCTGGAGACGCGCCGGGTGATACCCTCGGTGGAGCCAGGGTACCTGCGGGCTGCGCTGCCGGCTGAAGCTCCGCAACATCCGGAAGCATGGGACGATGTCATGACCGACGTGGAGAACAAGATCATGCCAGGGGTCACGCACTGGCAGCACCCGCGATTCCATGCCTATTTTCCGTCTGGAAATGGATACCCCTCGATCCTGGGTGATATGCTGTCTGCTGGCATCGGCTGCATTGGATTCTCTTGGGTAAATTGTAGCTATTTACTTACCTATTACTAAACTCATAAAATTCTATCAAAATTTTAACTAACTTACAAATCATCTAACACAAATACAACTCGATAAAAGTTTCAGATTAACTTTTCTTAAGTGCAAATTTTTAATAATCATTATTTTCGTTGATTAACGCGGGAAAAAAAATTGTTCCGATTAACTAGTAGGTAAAGAATGACAAATTGTCAAAAAACACCTTAACAATAAATATCCTTTTTAAGTAAACTGTTATCTAAACAAAATAATAAGTAATGACATAATATGGAATTGGAAACTATAAACCTTACGAGTAAACTAATTATAGATAGATAGATATAGAGTCACAATAATAATTGCTAATACCCACTTAGCACAGCTATTGACAACTTTGATTGACGTGACGAGATCATGATGGATCGGATACTATTAAGCGATACGAGAAAGATCTGTTTGGTGCAATACTCCATTAAGTAACAATCGTTAATTATGAATAAACTTTGAATTACCTACTCACACGTTCCTTATGAACTGGCTATATAAAAAATAGACTGAAACACATTTACAATAAAATTTTCCTAAAAATAAACTAATTAAAATAGAGTTCCAATTCGTAGGGTATCTATAATGCAAATGTGTTCGATTTTTCAAAAAATATATAACGTCATTAATATACAAGGAATATATAAATAAATGAAGGCAATAAGAATATTAATAATTTTGATATTAGTATTATTACTAGGGTAATGTTAAACCGACATAGTCGGGGCCGAGTCAAAGACAGCGATTGCAACAGTATTGATTGTCCTGTAATTGGTGTTTTAAATAACTTATGCCACTGCTGACCTTTTTAGCCTAAATAAACTTCTAACCGTATGTTTGTTTACTTAAACTTCGCAGTAAATTTGTAATTTTATTCTTAGTTAGGTATATTATAATTAATTTTGTGTATGCTTTATCCGTTTTTGTAAGTAAAGCCACCTCCTTCATCTAGTAGATGTAACAGCAAAGGTCGCGGATTCGATAATGTAGGCACATAGTTTCGGGGCTATTTCGGTTTTATAAAAAAAATAAGTTTCACACAAATGAATAACTGGGCTACTTAATTGAAATCATAATTTGTGAAAAGTAGGTTTAACATACCTGTTATATTAAACATAACATTAACAACCCCTACCTACAACCGGGTGACTTAAAGACGCTATCACGGATTTTAGGCTTCGTAAAAAACAAATACATATAATTACATATTTATTTACGGTCTTCTTAAAACAAATTAAATAATTTGAAATACTTAAATGAACCTCGATGATCTTCGGCCAGGCTGTGCAACTACTAAATATGAATTCTAGTAATGTTAATAAGTTGCTTGGACCCTACTTATGTAACAAGGTCCAAAAACGTATATTTTCGTATAAGTATTTCTATTTTAAAGTTTTAGCTAGTTTCTGTATAATCTGCCAAACCAAACTTAAGCTTGAACCGCAGACAAAAAAAATATTTTATTCTAGACGTGTAGGTACCTACTCGTCTAAGTCCTCTAACAAGATATGAGTCATTTAAATTATTCAAGGGTTCACGCATGAGAATAAAAACAACAAAAATATTATAATAATATGATTTTAAGGAATTAAATTAAAAACATTTTCGTATTTTACGCATATTAAATAAAACTGTTAATGTCAATTATTTTTATGGAGATTAATTAGATATTTGTTAAACAGCATGGAACCGTGATGGAAAAAAGTAGTCTTATACAAGCTACCTAAGACTAGTCAAACGATTGAAAAACTCGTAATTTGCTATTAGTACGACTTATCAGTAATCATAGTAACAATCATCCATTAGCTTATAATGGTGTACTAGCGGTTCCGCCGGCGTGGATGTCAATTTTACACTTTCCCAAGATTTTTTCTATACGTAAAAAAAATCTCTGGACTTCCACACGAATAATTCAAGACTACAATTAGCGAAATCGATAAAGGCACTGTTGAGTTATAATATTACAACGAAGTGGCATTGATTTTTATATGTATAGATGTGCAACCATAGCAGCATCCAATTAGAATTGGACTGATTACAATTAGGTACGACTCTAGGCCGTATACATCCGAATTAAATATTTGATCTTAATCCAGAATCTCTGTATCAGTCTTAATTTTGTCTGAAGAGAATCAGTAGAACCAATGTCAAAAAAGTCTTTAACTTATTCTTTTTATTTTTAGACACCTAGTTATTATTTAGTCTTCTTCACGGAGAGTTTCACAATCGAAATATAAGTTATCTTACCAAAATGTAAGCTGCTTCAACTAACTTATGAGACGTTTCATCAGTCACTTAACCACTCCAACTTACTGATTGTCGGTTATTTACGACGTACCGATCACGAAACCACTTTTAATTAAACTACAGCAACAAACTTTTTGATGGTTTTCCGATCTTTGTGGTGTCGATGAGTCCCCTAACCGTTTCGCAATTTTTTTACTAATATTAACGACATTCAAAACAAATATTGTTATCGTTTGTATCTTATTTCACACCACAAAAGTTGATTAAACGAATACGCTGAAGTGGCAAACCGCGCCACAAGTATTTTTGAGACCATTACAAAAATTGTTTCACCCACATCATTGTAAAACGGTTTACCAGGTTAGGTTAGGGCTCCCACACATGGTAAAATAAAAATTTTAATTAACCAAACCTAACATTTGTCACCAAACCCATCATCACTGATAATAATCATAGAAACAATGCATGTTCATCGAAAAATATAATATTACCAATAAAAAAATATTAAAGTTAGGTACACTTTATTATTTTAAGACTGCTGTAGTATTTAACTTTTCAATCGTGGTAATTCGAGACACAATAGAAGAACAATTCGAGAGCAAACCCTTGAGGTTTGATGACTTAAAGTAAACCAAATACCATACACGAAGAGGAGACACCTGCAAAAAAGATTGCAGGTGTTTGCAATTTTCAGTAGAAAAGATTGTAATTGTCAGTACTTCAAATAGATTTAAAATAGTGACAGGTTTCTATCAAGTTTATGTTTTTATACTGAACAATAAATTTTTAAATAAATAGCTGACAAGTTATGTCGACAACCCTAGTTACTTTAGCTGTTGATAGTGCACCGTGCGTGTCTGTTACTATAGATAAAATATATTCCTGCTTCGCACGCGTGTCACTGTCTACGAACTTCTTTGTTGCGCGGGCGTTGTTCAGTTATGTGCTTACCAACACATTTTGCAAATTAATTTTTATAGATATTAATTTTATTGATTTCTCGATGTTATTAACAATTTCCAGAAACAAACTTTTCAGCTTTATAGTAAGTAAACAAACTTTTCAGCTTTATAATTTTCATATATAGTTAATATTTGCAAGATCTCTTAATAGAAGCTCATTTATTTATTCATCATATAAAAAAATACTAAATTACTTTTGTTACAAACAATCCTGGGCCTCACGATCAGTATTTACAATAATGAATCATATAGAAGTCGAAATACTAAGTTACTTCTATAAATCCAAAACAATGTTTCGATTCTAACAAGTTCAATAAGCATGAGAAATTTCAACAAGTTAATCTATCGGATTCATGAGATGAGCGGAATGCTAAACAATAGACCGTTCAACCGTTCAACTAGGATAGGAAAATAAAATACGTAACCATGCCGTAGCAGTGCGTAGCGTAGCCGCTCCCAAATTTGCAACGGCGTAGCAGGCGATAAAAGTATACATACAATACTGTTTTTAAGTTTTTCTATTGAAATTACATAATTGTAACTAAAGAAACTAATTAATACAGTATGTTTCAAAAACCATTCAACCTATCGAGTTCAAAATAATTTTCCTAGAAATAATAAGTATTTGAAGTTCTACTTTAAGATCTTTTCCATTTTCTAAGCTTATGGTTCAAAAGTTAAAAAGGGTGACTCATTTTTTAAACCTTTGGAGCGATAAGGTATTTCCGAAAATACTAACATTATCAAAAATGATCTAAGTAAACCCCTATTCATTTTTAAATACCTATACAACAATATATCACACGTTAGGGTTGAAATGAAAAATAAATCACTCCCTGTTTTTTATGTGTAATCAAATATTTTTTAATCTAACAACAATTAAAAAGTATAAAGCATACTGTGTTAAAGGTAGAGAGATAAGAGACGAATAAAAGTAGTTAAAATGTTAGTTAGTTTTTTACGTACACGTTTACGTAACGTCATTCGTAGCGTGTTTAAAAATAAATTATTTGTTTTGATATTTTCAGGCCGCAAGTCCAGCTTGTACGGAGCTAGAGATCATAATGCTTGATTGGATGGGTACGTATATAATATATTATACACCTTTATAATATTTAATGTACCAGAGTATCTACATACATATACCGATTAAACATACCTATTGATTAATTTATGCGTAAACTATCTTCACTTTGATCATTGATAGGTAAGGCAATTGGATTGCCCCCACAATTTTTGGCGCTGGAAGAAGGAAGTAAAGGTGGTGGCGTTATTGAGGTAAATTAATAAACACACATTGTAATACATTACAATATACACTATTACTAAATTATTTCATTGATTAAATCATTTGTAGGGATCAGCTAGTGAGTGTGTCCTAGTATCGATGCTAGCTGCCAGGGCCAACGGCATCAAAAGGCTCAAGCATCAATTTCCGAACGTTGACGAAGGTCTCTTACTTTCCAAATTAATCGCGTACTGCTCAAAAGAGGCTCATTCCTGTGTTGAAAAAGCAGCTATGATCTGTTTCGTGAAACTCCGTATCTTACAACCAGACGATAACGGGTCTCTGCGCGGCGAAACTCTAAAAGAAGTAAGTAGAATTATTTGAAACGTATTAGTTAACTTATCTACTTGGATTCTAAAACATATCGAAAATTCTGTCAAGAGTCCAATTCAGTTGCAATTTGAATGTGCAGCTACCTCTTATTCGGTAACTATTATTGTTTTAAATGGAATTGGGCCATACTGTGGAGTGCAGGCTATGCAGGAGTGGTGCAGATAGGCGGGCGGTAATTGAAGAAACAAGACGGCACGGAGCGCACGGCGACGACGGTGTCCCGCGTTTAATGACTCGCCCGTGGATGCCGGAAATACGTAGCGAGCCGAGCGGTAATGGAGCCGCATTGTGTGCCACTTTCTATGCCGCAAATATTGAAATTTCACGATACTACCCTCTTATGAGAGGTCTCTTTAATTGCGAGCTTCAGAAATACGTTCAAGATTTTTAAGAATGCCTTTTCAATGTGATTCGATCGACAGGACATTTAATCATCTATTAGAAATACAAACCATTTTTTGAGATTAATGTTTTATGTTTATAGGCTATGGAGGAAGATGAGGAAGCTGGCCGCGTTCCCTTCTTTGTTTCGATTACATTGGGCACAACTTCGTGCTGTTCCTTTGACAATCTCCCCGAGATAGGACCTGTGGTCCGAAAATTTCCTAACGTGTGGCTTCACGTTGACGCTGCCTATGCTGGCAGTTCTTTCCTATGCCCGGAACATAAATACCACCTGTCTGGTATAGAGTACGCAGACTCTTTCAATACGAATCCGAACAAACTGATGCTTACCAGCTTCGACTGCTCTCTGCTATGGGTTACTAACCGATATCTACTGACGTCAGCCCTCGTCGTCGACCCACTTTATTTACAACACTGCTATGACCACACGGCCATCGATTATAGGCACTGGGGTGTGCCATTGAGCCGTCGCTTCCGCTCACTCAAGCTTTGGTTTATGTTACGAAGCTACGGTATCAGCGGCCTGCAGAAATACGTACGACGTCACTGCGAACTTGCCAAATATTTTGAACAACTTGTGAAGAAGGACGACAGATTCAAAGTGTGCAACCAAGTAAAGGTAAGACGTTTATCGATCTATTCGGCTTGATAATATTATAAATTTATATCGCCGTCGGACGCGGCAAAGATAGGACAAGGTGAGTTCAAACTGACTAGTGTTACCGTTGCACTTATTATATTTTACGGAGAATTGTACGTGTGTGGCCGGCAGCAAATCGTCGAACAACAGTTTTAACTAAGATCGAATAAATGACCATACAAATAAACAACTTTATGTAAACTTGTGAGATTTATTTTTTCTTTTCTTTACATATAATTAAACTGTATGTAAGTATCTTGTCTCCGTATATAGTTTTAAGTATGAGATCTTTTTTTCAGTTGGGTTTGGTTTGCTTCCGCCTTGTGGGAAGCCCTGAGGATCCAGGTGAACAAATAGATGAACTCAACAAGAAACTGCTGACTAATATCAATGCGTCCGGCAAACTGCACATGGTGCCTGCTTCTGTCGGCGATCGATTTGTCATCCGTTTCTGTGTCGTCCAGCAACACGCCACGCGTGAGGACATTGGTAAGCCATTCTTACACAAAGGTGTTTCTAAATGTTTAAGTTGTATTTAGGGCATGTTAAACTTAACAACTTAAGCTCCCACAATTAGCTTGGAAGAGCTAAGCTTCGGCGCGAATTGATCGGAGTGATACCACGGCCCCAGAGCAAATCGACGTTAAACAACCAAAGCGTTATGTCTATCTTTTGACAACACGGTTGGTGGCTGGGCAACTGGCTACCGTGCAACGTGTCGCGGGTTGGATTCCCGCACGGAACAACTCTTTGTGTGACACAGTAGAAAATCGTAGTGTTGGGCAAAGTTTTTTTTTTGTGATAAAACAATGACAGTTAACGTAATTAAAAAAATAATATTATTTTCAGAAATAGCGTGGGATATTATAACCGACTTTGCTACAGAGCTTCTGGAGGGACCTGACAAGGAACGGGTAAGTGTGAACAGATTGTTTTGGAACTGAAACTTGATGACGCTTGACGTTCAAAAGTGCCTTTTTTGGTCTATTTGAAATAAAGAATTTGATTTGATTTGATCTGGTTTTCATACTTTGTAGTGAAAAAAACAAGGAACGAATTTTGAGTGTATAGTATATACACTTAGTTTCAATAACAAGCCACTTTGAACTAAACTTTAATAAGACCTGCAAATTTCAAGAAACTACATTTTAATTTTTATACCATATTTGGACTTTTAAGACATTAAAATGAAGAACCCGTAGTTCGTGTGGTAGATATCTACACTTCTATTTATAATTCCTCCATGAAAGAACTTAGTAAATAATATTATTTTATATTGTTTTGATATTATTCTGGGACATTTAACTTTTACACCTATCTGTTCAACTAGGTACTTATTTAGCCTTTTCAGAAAGCTGTCGGCTTATTATGTTTACATTTTATATTTTATTTTGTAAAAACTAAAATTATTGAAAGGCGCGAGCAAGGGTCACACGAACTCTTAGAGTCATACGGCTAGAGAGACGTAAGGGATCTATTTTCCTCTCGCGCCATAGCCGCCGTAATCGGAGACAACGGGCAAAATCATTCAATCAGGCGTCGGGGATCGCGAGACGATCCGCGGCCACCGTAAGTGCTGGTCTATAGACGGCGAGCAAGGTCCGTCCGACCAGATCTAGACTCAACCGTGTGGCGCGTAGAGTTCGACGCCGCCATCAAAGAACCTATAGACCACCACAGATATGAGTGTACCTCAAAAAAGTACCTGAAATGAAACGTGGCGGACGGTGGCGCGGTATAATTCAAATTTTCGATGCTTATGTTCCCAAACCTTTGCCATCATGCAAATTTACTATTACATTAATTAAATATGAAGGTATGCAATTACATAAAACCTATATGATGACAGAAAGTATAAATAAAATCATTAGATTTAATTAGTGATCCATGTAAGTCCTGGGACCCGGCCAGGCCCACCAGGTCATAACCTCTGTCACCCACCCCCTGGATCCGCCGTTGCCTACACGCACCCACACAGGTGGAGGAAATCCAAGTGTCGGCAACGATACTTAGACTGACTTAATGCTAGATGTAGGTCTCATGTCAATTGCGGGGTAGGTGTGCGCAATTTGGCGCCGCGGCCTCTACCTAAAACAGGAGAAGGATCGGGGTGTTTTTAGTCAGTAAGAGTCTCTCTCGCCTTACCCTGGGCGAGAGAAGTCATTTGATGATTTTCCCATGACAAAAAAGGTCTCTTGTCAAGCGGGGTTGCCGGTGCAAGCGCAATAATGTATCGCAGCCTCGGCCCGGTGCAGGAGAAGAAGGAACTGAGTGGTTTTTAGTCAGTAGGTATAAGTCTAACATTTCCTCTCGGTCCACCGTGGGCTGGAGAAGGCATAAGATGTTTCCCCCCCCCCCCTCAAAAACGCCTCTTCTCGCTTATCGAGTCAGCGTCAAAGATCTCTCTGTTGGATGTTCCAGGACTTGAACGTAGAGCGGGCTCGTCGCAACAAAGCTGCTCTTGCGCACAAGCGTTCGTTCTTCGTGCGCATGGTCAGTGACCCGAAGATCTACAACCCGGCTATCAACAAGACGCCTCCACCGGTACCTACTACTCCGGGCTCGCCGCAGCGCTCTGCTATGCCCACCACGCCCGACACGCCCACTGATCCGGATCAACTCCAGCCCTCTACTCCGTGAGTACACACACAACATTCATATTCTTCTATAGAAAGACAGTCACAGTCCACGATATGCCGTAGAGCTAGTACAGACCAGCCAGTCCTTTACGGATTTATCGACCCGACAAATATTAGAAATCCGTATAACTTTCGCGTATTCATTCATAAATTATTAGGCTTTTAGTGATGAGATATGTTTGGTTAGCCAGCCAGCCCCAACAGCCCGGTTCAATGACAAGCAGCAGGTCTGGCTCTGTGGTCGCCAAACTGCGTGCAAAGCGTGGTGAATGGTGAGTCCACAACCCACGTAGCCGAGTGCGTAGTAATCGAGTAGTTAGATATACTAACCTACTACCCGTAGATTTCTTTAGTCTTCACTCACATAGCACCTTCTTTCAATTCCAATCTAGGACCGTAATTTTACACCGGATTTAAGTAAACATTTTTTTTTCAGGAAGCAATCGTCTTGGATCAGCTGGCCACTCGGATTCTTCTTCCAGAGTGTGGATAACGATGCTAACGATTTGCCATTGAGGTAACTGACACCTGTCTGATCTGCCGACTCCTACATCTCCGAAGTAGGTGTGGGTACATGAGGCTGTCATATTTAATTTCGCGAATTTTCCCCTAGGTTCCGGCACCTGGACACGATGGTGCGCCTGAAGAGCCCCGGCACTACGAGCCGGCGCGGCTCCTCGCCCTGCGCGTCGCCTGAGCATCGTGCGCCCTCCCCCCACCATTGACCGACCCCCGCGTGTTAACCACATCATTATCACTTATCGCAGAAATAAATACTTATGGCAGCATTGAGCTTATCTGTTTTATTTTCTGAGTGGATTCGGCGCTCTTATTGGCCTGCTCCGATTTAACCAACCAGTACCTAAGTGGGATAAATACGGTAAGGTTTCGATCGCGTGAATGTAAAATAAACTCGCAATAGGTACCATAATAAAGAGAAATGGAAGTACAAGAAATAATATTCACACTAAAATAACCCTCTAATATTTTCCCCAAGAAGTAATACAATAGATACGTCACGTCTTTCCCTAGTGATGTGCCGTTGCACCGTGAGGGCTCAGAGGTAGGTAGGTCTACGATAGGACCTAGGGTCCCATTGTACGTACATAGGTGATGATGGTCGTCACAAGGGTGGTTTTCCAACCATTTCTCCCCAAAAAGCTAGGCTCCTTATGAAGGTGTCCCCCGTTATAAAATAGATCACTGTCCTTTTGTGGACAGAGGGGGGAGGGAATCTTGATATACATAGGTATAATTAAGTTTTAATGGGTTGCCAATGTTTAAATTGTCATATTCAACTTTTTGTATGTGAAAGGACATAGTAGTTTGGGATATTTAGTGATTAGGGAAGAGGAAGAATTGGGCCTCCCTCACGCACACAGCGAAACAACGCTGTTGTTGTTTTAGCGCGGGTTTTCTGGGAGACCGTGGTATCACTTCGGTCGAGCCGACCCATTTGTGCCGAAGCATGGCTCTTCCATTCTTATAGCCTAACACTAGACTAATTTATTCGTTTTATTGAACAATGGACCCCAGAGTTTCCTCCAATTGACTTCTACAACGGCAGTCGCAACTCGAAGTAACGACGACAGAAAATTGAACAGAGAAGTGGCAAATACTATTTTTTTTATTTATTAATGGTGTGGGTTTAGTTGTGAAATTCATTCAAAGTAGTTATATTTTTTAAGAAAAAGACAATAATGTTTTTTAGTAAGTATTGTTTTATTTATTAACTACTTTCAGTCCAATGAAACAGTGTGCGATTTCAGTTCACCATTCCATCCAACTGTATGTAGAGTGTTCTTATCCTCGATGTCCCAAGCTGCACCTCTCACATAGTTGCTATGCATGTGTCTGTCGTGGTATATTACTTTGGGTTCACTATTCTCCTCCACTTTACAAACTGTGACAATTTTATTGTCACAACATACTGCTACTTTGTCTGAACTATAAAAGAGAAAAATGTTAGTCAACTCTAAATAGAACATGTAAGCATTTAACACATATAGATGCCAAATATTGGGCAAATTTGCTTATGGTCCAATGGCCAAGTTTTTAAGAGAACAAGCTACAACAAGATAGAAGCAAGCTAATTTGTTGACTTAGTATCAAAGAAGTCTTACTTTGGTTGCACAACCAACTTGTGCACTGCTGCAGGAAATTCTGTAATTTTCACATTTGTTTCTGTATTTCTCATATCTATCAAATGTAATACACCAGCTTCATCCCCAGCTACTAAACGGTTCTCATCCAAAAAAGCCAAGCATTGAATAGAGCAATCATTTTTCATTATATCTAAAACAAACAAAACATTAATTATATTAAACTCTATATTTCACAAATCACATCCAAATAACAGGGATAAAGGGACTTGGTCTTTCATTTGTTTACAGAAATGGTAAAGCATTTCTACACAAACCTTTTTTGTTTTTGTCTAAAATTTGTAAGGTTGAGAATTACTCAAATAAGGGGGCACGTAAGTGGAATTGAATGGTTAACTTCTTACCCATTACTGCTTTATCAGTATTATCATCCCACAGTGTGACATACTGATCCATGGAACCGGTTGCAAAACTGTGTGCGGACTTTGGTTTCACTGCAACTGTATTTATAGTCATAGTGTGTGCTGCACTGTAGTTCCTTATACATACCATATCATTTATGTCCCAAACCTGTGATCAATTAATTTTATTTTTAGGCACAAATATAAAAATCCAATAAAACATGTCTAATCATGTTTAAATAATGTAGAAGATTTACAAAAAACTTTGACTTAAATTTTGTCTGTGTTGTGTGATGCCATAAATTATTCCTTAAAACTTAACTTCTTTTTTGAGTGACAACCAATATTTTCTTACTATACAGCTCATATATATTTTACAGAACAAACCTTAACATTTCCATCAGCACCAGTGGTAGCAAAGAGGCGTTCAGGCTCAAGGCAGTCTACAGCCAAAACTGCATTGTCATGTTCTGCCACAGAAAGGTCTTCCCTCCACTGGTTCCAAGCATTCTGCTGGTCACTGTTTTTGACCCACACACTTACTGCTCCATTGTCTTCACATATCAACAACTGCAGAAGAAAAATAAATATGAATATATAAAATTATCTATATCTTAAAAGATTAATACACAAGTGCTTACAAACAAAAGTCACAGCTTCCTGATATCATTCGAGGGAAGTCAGGAGCACAAGTTCTCAAAATTACTTATAAATAAGTCATTTAAGGTGATTTCTTTAATTAATTTAATATATTTTTTCAAAGTATACTAGTATGCATATTTACAAGAATGTTTTGTAGAAATTATCATAAATGTTTTCATTAACTCAATCATACCTTAGAAGAACTTCCAATAAAGCAACCATCAGCAGTTCCACTACACAAAGAAATACTCCTCTTATCTTCAGTTTTGATGCTTTGAGCTTCTCCTATACCTTTGTACACACTAACGCCACCATTCCAATAGCGACCAGTGAGTTCTGATGATCCCACCAGAACACTTCCATCTAAAACATGCATTTATAAAATCTGAGTCAAGTTCTAATATAATCGTCTTTTCAGGGCAATATATATATGAAATGAAAAGGAATAAATAAATAGGTACGTACCGGAATGAATTCTGATATAATCTAAATAAGATAGCGTACTCGTGCCGGTGGTGTCGGTCCTGTATATTTCGGCATTGAGATGAGGTGGGACGATTTTATTACTATTATCCATGGCTTATACACAAAGTTTAATATTATTTGAAATTCCTATCTAGATTAAAGCTTAAAAGGCAATTATAAAACCAAAAACATTAACAATAAACACATAACATTGTTTTGTGAAATCTAGTGGTAACCTTAAAAATCTCAATTGACATTCAAGTCTTCGTTTGACATTCAAGTCTTCGTTTGACATTTAACCACAGATTATACTGCCCAAAAAAACTCTTATAGTCTATGGACTTTACACTGTTACAACGATTGCCTTTTGTGAGGGAAATATCATAAAAGGACTTCTCTCGCCCAGGGGGAGGCGACGGGGAGTGTCAGGTCAGACTCTTACTAACTAAAACCCCCGTTCTTTATAAGGCCCAAAGCAGAAGGCCGAGGCCGCCGTATCTTATTGCGCTTGCCCCGCACTGGGTGACGATTACGAGTAAGGTACGATTACTTAAGATTTCGCGTTCCGCGAAGATAGTTTTTTATGGTCTAAGCTATTGAGCACATTCAAAAAGCACAGGTTGACAGGTTCCCTTGCCAACTGCAATGTCTCACATTATTTTATACTTATATTACTATTAGACAAGATACGAACTATTTTAGATAGAATCTATTTGTCTATGAAATATTATCTAAAAATCTTTCAAAGTCAAACACATGTGATTGACATGTAAAAAAATTGTTTCGGTTTGTGGTGCTGGCGAATGTAGCGATTTATCTTTATCAAATAAGAAGTTGTACAGCATATTCTAATAAGATTATAATACAAAAATATTACTTGAATTTTTATCTTTAATTAATCCTCAATCGTAGGTAAGTCGATTTACATCTATCACTGCCATTCCTAGCTTTATTATTTTGAATAAATATGTAATGATTTAATTATATTCGATTCACAAGTTCTAAATACTCCCACTTGAGCTACTAACTTAGTAATACACATGCAACTATCAGTTAAACAGCAAAATTAAACAATAATTTGTTTTAATTTTTTTATACGACTTAAATTGTTATCAGATATAATCTTATGTTGTTTATTACAAACTCATTACTTAAAGTGTACCTACCACATCGTTAATGTTTATAATGATAAAGACATATTTTTATTCAAAGAAATGCCCAATATGGAATTACTGCAGACATTAACTGGCCACAAAGGCATTGTCTGGAACGTTTCTTGGCACCCCCAAGGAAAAATATTTGCATCTTGTGGAGAAGATAAAACGATCAAGTTATGGAGTAAAGAAGGTCAAGAATGGACAATAAAAACTGTTCTTGTGGATGGTCATCAGCGTACCATTAGAGAAGTGGCATGGTCACCATGTGGCAACTACTTGGCATCAGCTAGCTTTGATGCAACAACAGCTATTTGGGACAAGAAAAGTGGTGTGTAACCATTCTTTACAAATGAAATGCTATTTTTATCAGTATAAAATACAAAATACTGTGTTCATAGGTCAGTTTGAATGCAATGCTACTCTGGAGGGACATGAGAATGAAGTAAAGAGTGTGGCATGGTCACCCTCCGGTCAACTGTTGGCAACTTGTGGCAGAGACAAATCAGTTTGGGTATGGGAAGTGGCTGGAGATGATGAATATGAATGTGAATCTGTACTCAATGTCCACAACCAAGATGTCAAAAAAGTTCGTAAAGATACCCATCCTCAGTTTAAATTTATCAATAAATAGCACTCTATTCATAAATTATTCTTTTTATAGGTTGCTTGGCATCCTTCACTAGACATCTTGGCCTCAGCATCATATGATAACACAGTTAAGTTGTACAAAGAGGACCCAGCTGATAATGACTGGAGCTGTATAGCAACTTTGCAGTCACATGAATCTACAGTATGGAGCTTATGCTTTGACAAGACTGGGGAGAGACTTGCCACTTGCAGTGATGACAGAACAGTGAAAATTTGGAAGGAATATAAACCTAATAACCAAGAGGGAGTTATAGTAACAGACAGAGAGTCTGTATGGAAATGTGTCTGCACATTGTCAGGATACCATACCAGATGTATTTATGATGTAGCTTGGTGCCACCACACCGGACTTCTGGCAACAGCTTCTGGTGATGACATCATAAGAATATTCAAAGAATCTGAAGATTCTGATCCTAATGCACCAACATTTGAACTAATTTGCACCAAATTGAATGCACACTCCCAAGATGTGAATTGTGTTAAATGGAATCCAACGGGCAACAAAGAACTTCTCTCTTGTAGTGATGATGGAGAAATAAAAATTTGGAATTTTTCTGAATAATTCAATATTGTTTAGTTCACTAATAATTGTTATGAATATAAAACAAGTTTTACATCAAAGTTTATTGATATACATTAATTAGTTATGTAGGCTGAAAGTGTTGGGATTTCATAATAAATGAATATTTATTTTATGTAATTGTTTTCTTGGTGCTTTGAATATTTTATATTGAGTTAGATAATATTTAATTGCATGGATTTCAGTTCACATCTGATGATTTTAACAGTAGGAAAAATCATATTCTCACAGAAAAATCTTAAAAGGTTGTATACAACGGCCACTAAAATGTCTACGGGAGAGAATGTTGGTGTCCCACTCCAGAAAGTGACTGCTGTTCTGGAAAATTTTGCACCAAAGCAACTGTCTGAAAGCTGGGACAACACTGGTCTTTTAGTGCAGCCATACACTCCCAGGTAATTTCAGAGTTGTGTATTTAATGGTATTAAAAGTAATGTTTGATGCTGATACAGCTATGCCAGTAGTTCTAATAAACCATGTTCTTTCTTTTAATGTTGACACTGACCGTGTTTATTTTAATAAAGTGTACAACAAATGTTTCAGGAACATATCAAAGGTTCTGCTGACAAATGATCTTACAGAAGATGTAGCTTTGGAAGCCAATGATCAAGGATGTGAAATGATCATTTCCTACCACCCTCCTATATTTGCTCCCATGAAGTCTGTGGTTCAGAGGTATGAAAATTTTCTGCAAATTATTTGAAGAACTAATTAGAAGCTGCAACTTAATGTTCATTATTTTTTTTAACTCGAAAATCATACTTTTTTTGTGACATTGAGTAAATATCCTCAAACAATAATAAGGGTTAGCGCCTATTCCACCATCTTCATATACTCTGTATAAATTAATGAAATAGGTGAGACGTACAACCTGATAGTAAGCAATCGGTGCCGTCCATGGAGACATCATCACCATACGTCGTGTAATTGATTAGGTATTTAAGTAGTGGGGATGGAATTGAGTTCCCGATAACTTTTTATCTGCTTCATAGGGGCTATTGGGCATTGTGAAACAGAGCTTTAGTATACTTTATTTAGTATATCATATAAGTTGTACCAAAATTCGTCGCGTCTTTTCGCCAGTTCTGTTATGAGTATCACGTTCACTGCACACAGTTCCACACCAAGCTGAATGACAACTTTAAACAAAAACCCAATAAATTATTTGTCCCACTTAATATTTGAACCCAAAGAGCTGTTCTGTAGTCATGCTTTTCCCCAGTCTAAAAAAGCAGTTTCGAATAAGGTGAAAGACTACATTATTCTCTTTCAGTGCTTGGAAAGAACGTATTGTCTCATTCCTCTTGGAAAAAAGGATAAGTTTGTATTCTCCGCATACCAGTTGGGACAGCGTAAAGGGGGGAGTAAATGACTGGTTGGCGAGTGCATTTGAGGTTGAAGAATCTAAGCCAATTATCCCAGGAACTGACCCCCAGGTTGGGGCAGGAAGGTAATTGTATATTTTTAAATTAACGTTTACTATAATATCGTATCGAAGATTTCCGATTTACATTACAAAAACACCTGTTCTCGCCACATACATCGAAAAACAAAGAAGAATATTAAATGTAAAATGCCCAAATCGTTAAACACGTTTATGTAAATTTGTAGATTTTTATATAAGGTTACAAAGTTAAATGGTGTGTAAAGATGTCTTTGAAGATCTGTAATTGTTGTCATAATATTAACACCCGTTTTAAGAAAGGCCGATCAATTTAATCTCTTGTCAAGTCATCTGATTGGTTGTTGATAATTCAGTTTAACAGGTGATTAGTTATTTTTAGCGTTAACAAGCCTTTCAGAAACCGGGTGTAAGTGATTTTAAGTCTTAGTTAACTAAATCCGTCCCTGCTGTAATGACCTAATGGTTACTACAACACTAATCTTTGTGTTCATTAGCAATTTTAGCAGCTTTAGATTGAAAAACTCGCGGCAAGACTACTTTGCATCGGTATAATCATGCTTTACCTACTATAGTAATTCTCCTGATATTACGGGAATTCGACATTTAAAAGTTAAATAATACCTTTGCACATGTGGTTTGATTAAATCTAATAAAACGATTACATGCCAAAATAACCTGCAATAAAATGGTTCTACTTTATTTGCGGCACAATAACAGCGGTCAATTTATCTATCATGTATTTGACCTAGTCTTGGCGCATACATGATGAGATATTTCGCAACAACTGATTGCAAATGTGTTTTACAAAATTGTTCTAGGTTGCTGCAACTTAAATCGAATATTTCTTTGACGGACGCGGTTTCAAAAGTTAAGCAATTGACTGGATTATCGCATGTGCGTTTCGCTCTTGGCAAGGGTAAAGACATGTCGAGTGAAATACAAACTGTAGCGTTGTGCGCCGGCTCCGGCAGCTCAGTTTTGAAAGGAGTTCAAGCTGGTTTATATTTAACAGGTAAATAAAATGAAACTTCTTCAATACACGCCTAGTCCTGAATTCTGTTGAAGTTGTATCAAATAAAACAATTTCACTCGGTAATCAATAAAAAAAATCTTTGCAGGAGAAATGCTTCACCACGACGTATTGGATGCTGCACAGAAAGGAATAAGTGTAATTCTAACCAATCATTCTGATTCTGAAAGAGGCTTCTTGATGGGCTTTTCTAAAAATTTTCAGAATCTGTTGAACAATGACGTACAAGTTATTGTTAGTCAAGTAGATAGAGATCCTCTTGTAACTCTTTAAGTCTCATGAATAAGTTGTTTTAAAACCATTAGTTTTTTTTAATAAATACAAATTAATTCGTTATAATATGTTTTATTATTAATTGTAAATTGTTAATTCACGTGTTAGATCCAGGAAAGTACATTTAGTTTTAAATAACCATTACATGTGAGATCATCATTATCTTATACTACCTCAGAACACAATTACATAGCGCAAATAGGATTCAGACTACTTTCATTAGTTCCTATGGTTCTTACGACTAGTAAAAGTACTACTACAATACTTGGCAAGACCTTTGTATATGTACTTTCGTCTTCCACTTCCTATCTGCATAACTCAGTCCGTTTCGATCCTCTTGATGATCTTCTAGCTGCACTGAAAGATGTCCATTGTTTAAAGATGTAATTATTTCATGTTTGTTAGAATTTTAGAGCATGCACACAACTTACTTACGCGGGGCAATTTTGTGTACACTTTTATTTTTAAACGTTCTATCGTTTTCATTGTCTTTAAATATTTCTTTTGTTGTTTTCTTTCGTTTTGGTGTACCCATACTTGGTGTTATTTTACATATAGACGAAACGGTCCCGTTTTTGTCATCATAATTTATAACATATTCTCTGCGCGAATCACGCGGTTTGCTGTTGGTCTTAGTAGAATAGTCTTTCGCATTCTTTGATTGTATAGAAGGAATAAGTACTGTGTAACTTGATTCATCTTTTTGTGAAGGTTTTATTGATTCTTTCTTAGTTTTATCCCTAGAAGAGTTTCTCTTGCGACCACTGTCTACGCCGTAATTACGATCGAGACTGCGTTTTTGATGTTCTGATTTCTTTATCAAATCTCGTGATGTTTCTTCAGACACATTCAATGAAGGTCTTTGCAAAGATTTGCTCCTGTGTTCTTTACTTTCCAAAGTAGAATTATGTTCTTTAGAACATTTGTCTTCTCGAGATTTGCGGACACGTTCAGATGTGTGTTCTTCATTTGGTTTTCCTCTGCAATCACGCGATTGACGTACCCTATCAATCTTCTCGGCTTTTCTTGAGATGTCTTTATAGGTGGAAAGTGAGTTACTATCTTTATTACCAGAATCTTTTGTTCTAAAACTGCTATCAGTTCCGGAATCCGACCGACGTTCTTTGTTTTTATTTTTAATGAGATTTAAAGGCACGTCAGTTACACTTTTGTTTTTATTCTTACTTGTGTCTGTTTTATGCGTTTTTCTCTGACGTGTGTTAAGTGAATTCGTTTTCAGTTTTTGGGTGTCACGGTTCTCCAGAGAATTTGTTTTTTCTGTGTTAACATTCAGATTGACATATATCGGGTTTTCGTCCGATGAATTGTGTTCTTTGGCAGAATTTAACTTTTCTACGCTGATTTTCCTTTCTTTCATGGGGCGACTCGAAGTACTGTAAAATACAAATATTTTTTTATTGATTCACTTTCAATATGTATTGATTACGCATTCAACTAGTTATTGTTATTTCATAAAACATTTTAAAACACTTACCGTGGTGATTGACGTTCTCGTTGTTCTGACTTTTCAACTGCATCACGTCTCAAAGACTTCGGTGGTGCAGAAATACTCCGTGTAGTTGTTACTTCGTCTTGCCTGCGGTACCTGGTCCGTCGCGTAGTTACGTCTTTTATTACTTGGCTATCTCTTTCAATAACAGGTTGGAAAACTTCAATTTCTTGTATTTCTTCTTTGGGTTTGTCTTCATAATTTGTTCGTATTCTTGGAGTTGGTACTGGAGCATAGTTTATATTTAACGGAAGATTCTGGTACTCAGGCGTCTCATCAGAATCGGGTTCACTGCACACGCTATTTGCGACTTGTTGTATTAGTTTGACAGACTGAAATATGTTGTCAATAACATCGTCATTGGGTCCTGGTGACCTTTTCGTCTGAGTTTTATTTTTATACGAGTTAGTTTTGTTGTTGTTATCAACACCAAAGTACGTTAGTTCGCTGTCCCGCAGCTGTCTGGTTTTAGGCTTTCTTTGAGACGGTGCCACATGCAGACTATTGAACTTAGACTTAACGTCCTCTATAGAGTTTTCTGTTGCTTTACTAATTTTAATATTTGTAACCACTTGCTTCTCACTTTTTAAACTGTCGTCTTTTGTGGGACCTATAACATAATGAAAAATATTTTATATATTACCTTTAAGTTGTACCTATTGTTATTTGCAGAATGAGAAATATTATTACTTAAGCAAATAGTTTGATATAATATGCATGTGTTACCTGCTTTAGTTGTCCGTAAGGCGGTGGGTTTCAATATCGAATCATCAGCTTCTCGTGGAAACATAGGTTTCACTTCAGATTTATAGTAATTCTCTGATTTTAATTGCTTATTTACTAAAGAAACTGCTGACAGCACAGAATCATTTGAAGCATCTTTATTTAAAATATCATCAGCCATCCCAAATGCCATGTTCTCTCCTAAAAGATATGGTTTGGGTTTCGGAATTTTATTTTTGAGAATACTTTTTGTAGCTGCTGTATTCTCATCGGCTTCACCAAACTCACCACCACTTACATTTAAAGGAGAACCAACTCCATTGCTTGAGGGGAAATCTCCGTTTTTGTCCCCAAATAATGTTATCATTGGCTTTTCCATCCTATCTTGCAAAGGCACAAAGGCACTTCTTCGTTTTCTAAAATCGTTTGAAGGAGGAGGTTTCTCATCCGTAGCGATTATATTGACTTTTCCAGATTCTGCAGCAAAATGTACTTCTGTTTTGCAGAACTCCACTTTCTTAACTTTTCTGTCACCTTCTTCATTCTGCTGATGTTTATTAGAATTTTCTTCATTATCTATTTCTAAAGTGATTGGCAAGTTTATGCATACTTTTCCAGATGATTGTACAGTTATATTATTTTCTGAGGGTTCTTCCATAACTATGTCATGTTCTCGATAAGTCTTAAATTTGGTTCCTCTGTAATGCGAAATTGGTCTATTTTTCGATAGCCAATCTCTAAATGATTCTTCATTAGAGGACGTCTTTCTATCATCTCTGTACAAGTACCTTGTATGTGAGTTATCATCTATTTGGTCATTGACAATTTCTGTTGATTTGCAAATGCCACTGTCCGTAGAAGATTCCATAGCTAGTGTGTCGTTACTATGGGTAATGGTTTCGTTAAGTGGGGAAGTATCTTCGAAGCTGTAACTTTTCCTTCTCGCGTTCCAGTCGTTGCTGTTGTTTAAAAGTGATTTGTATTTAAGTGTACTTAAAGTTACAGGCGTATCCAACAGTGGCGAGTTTCGGCTGGTATTTCTACTACTAAATTGTAAGTCACTATTTTCCGAGTCGTAAGAGTACTTTCTGTGAAGGTTTCTGCCAAGTCTTGAGTCTAGGTCAATAATACTAGCATTGTCTGTGGACGAAGACTCTTCGCTTGGCATGCGAATAGAACTTCCTTTGGTAGAACCTCGCCATTTGGATGGTTCCGATATTTCGAAGTCGTCTGGTTCAGTAACTTTGTAATTTTCTACTTCGGTTTGTGGTTCAGGTGATGAATCAAACGGCGTGGACGAAATTTCTAAGGGTTTAATGGGCGATGATGGCGACTCCAGTAGATTGTAACCGGATGATATTACCTGAAAAAGCGAGTTATCAATTAATCGTACTACCTTTTCTTTCTATTCTTAGATATTATTTATTGATGAATTGTCAACTAAGTCATGGTGACACAGTTTTTTAAAATATGCAGAAAGGATGCTTCACTTTATCAATACGAGGCGTTGGTTTTAAGGTCTAGCGATAGTGAGCAAATATGATTATCTAACAAGTAACATTGACCCAAAAAGAATGAGAAAGTTGCTGATCCTTGAAAAGTAATAAACTAACAACTTATTTCATTTCATAAAAGCTAAATAGTATAATCGTAGTACTTACTCTTCGTGAAGAATGTAACATGAAAGAAGCAGCGGGTGCGCCTGGAGCAGCGGATGAGTGATAGGCAGCACGCATGACGCGCACGCGCGCGCCGGGCCCGCTGGCGTGCAACACCTCCATCGCACGCGCAATGCGCCTTGTAACGCCACCTTCTGTCACCTGAAATTAGTACAAACCAATAATTTAATTTATATTGTTAGACTGTTTTTTATATGATATGACGGCAAACGATCAGGCAGATCACCTGATGGTAAGCAATCAGCGCAGCCTATGGACATTCGCAACAACGCAGTTACGAGTGCGTTGCCGACCTGTTGAGGTGATTGTTTTGGAAATTTAGGGATTGGGGTAGGGGAACCATTGAGCCTCCTGTAACCTGACTCACACGGCGAAGCACAACGCTATGGTTGTTTCGCATTGGTTTCTTATGTGGCCGTGCTATCATTCTTCCACACTTTTAGACTATTAAAGTATCTATGTATTTACAAAATAAATCTATAAGAAGTTTTCTCTTACAATATAATTGATTATTATTTTTTTGCCTTACGTTATAGGTAGGTACCTAATATTTCATGGATTTGCAATCATAGACATGAATCTACCTAATCTGACCTAATAATATGAGTTCCTACGGTAGTTCTACATAATGAATAATACTACTTCAAGTATTTAATAACAAATCTCTCGCCAGTGCTTGGCAATTGAACTTTGAAAGTAATGTATGAAATATTCATGACCAAGCATGTGATGACCTCAACTGTTATTATAACTGTCCGGCAAGTGGCCACATTTATCTGTACTTTGTTTGTCTGTGGGCAGTATATTTATATGTATAACATTGTCAAAATGCAATGTGTGCGTGCCCGAGAACTTCTTGCTTAGTGGTCGTGACGAATGTTGTTACACTACTTTAGTGTCCTGTGGAACTACCACTGTACCTACCTACTGTATTAGTGAAATATGTACAAAGAGTAAAGTAGGCCGTAATTATTTGCTAGCTGTTACTTAAATATTAGCCTTCTTCACGCAAAACAAAGAAGTTTAGGTCAGAGCTTTCCGAGCCGAAGGTTCGATCTTTGCTCAATAAATATTTGTATGGCATGGTCCTCTGTAGGCCGCCTACAAATAAATGAGTGTCGCACTTAATATGAATGTATAGGTAACTTCCTTCTTTTGAGCTTTCAACAAGAAAAGCACGTGTATTAACGTAGGTATTTAAGTATTAGGTAAGTACATAATTATAGGTAGGTACATAAGTACTATTTTATTTATTTGGGAATTACTTTAGCATAATGTACATATAGTTATTGTACAAAGTCGTCTATAAGTTAATATGTTACGCACAGTTGTTGTGGCCTTCACAAGTATGTATTTATTGTTGCCAGTGACGTGATCCTTCTTGCGGGGGCGAAATGAAATTGCGGCGTGCCGTGATTGCGATCTTTTCAATGATCAACTCACTTTTGAATACTCAAGTGGGTGTCAGACACGTTTAAATATTTGCACTGTACCCACAAATATAGTTTACCTTACATTACTTTAATGTTTACCCAGGACTCTTGGTTTTTGAAAACCCAACTACACTACAGCTACTTATTTTGAGAAAAAGTCGTTATCATTTTGGGGACCTCGTGCTTAGCCTTAACTTTTAAACACAAATTACACGCGTAACTACCTAAATGTTTAATTATTGTTGAACGTAGTAGGTAATACTTACCTATCCGTTAAAACGACCTGTCTTAGTAATAGGTAGGTATAGGTATCTATTTGTCGATATGTTTGATTTGTCTTTTGGAGATTCTTTTTAACAGGCTCAATATAAGTATAATTAAGTATACCTACCGATTGCTAGGTCAATGCGACTGCCCGTAAAACAATAAAAGTAGTATGGCAACATTATAATATTTATTTATTTATGGTGATGTGTAATCATTAGCTCTACTAGAACAGACAAAAGCAAAACGAATTCTAATTTACATATTAAACAGTTTGTTTTCTGTAGGTACCTATAGACAATTTATCTGATGGTTTTTTGCTCTAATATTTCTTTCCATTTAAAGAGCCAGATAGGTAAAACGTCATACGGAGGCTATGTCAATTTGATTTTGCAGCGTTTTACTAGAAATAAGTTTGATCAAGGAGATTTATTTCAGAAGATAAACTGACATCATCTGTATAATCGAACTCGAAATAACATCAGAAGGCCGCATGCAACCCACTGCTTATAATGCAGTAAGTTCTTACACCAACCGATATTATAAATAGCACCCATTTATTTAAATCGCATATTGGACTAAACTTGTATATAGTTTTGATTAATAAAATAACCGTAATTACAAGTTACCAAAAGAGAATCAGTGCCTGTCAATTATTTACAACCGGTTCCGTTGCCGCCACGGCCTAGTTTAATTAATTCATGAAGGTAATAGGAACGAAGTAGGTAGAGGCAGTTCATTATGGTTTACAACCTGAAAAGTTATAATATATTCAGTACCAATGTAAATAGCTCTTCCTAGTGTAGAGAATAGAGTAATTGTATGATAACTGAATAGGTACGTTGCACGATCTATTGACATGGAGACGAGTCTGACGATTAACATCCACACGTGGTATCTGTTAAGTTAGCGGTTAACTTAACAGACTTATTAGTATTAATCAGAACGCGTGAACTACTAACAAATGCATGTATTGAATTGTGAGAATCTTCCAAAATGGAGAGGCAGGCTTAATTTGGCAAGAGGAGGGGAGGGGTCCGTGACGTCAGCGGTCGTCGACTCTAGCGCGGGCGTGAGGGACGACTCGCAATATCGATATTTTACGAGAAATCATGCAGGAAAATACGCCAGAATCTTTTAGTTTCCAGTGATTCATCATCGATGTCATTAATGTGTGTGCTTTATTTAATAAAAAAATTACCTGAAGTAGGTTGAGGACAGGTTCTCGTCATAAACTAGTATCGATCAATACCTAATAGGTTACACACCTACATTCGTCATGGATTTTCCTAAAACAATCAATGATGAGATTTCACATCATTTTATCACCTTTTCCTCATTTCGTACATGCCTAATTGCATGAAAGTGAATAAACGGAAATGATGATAGGTTAAATCGGAAAATCAAGAAAGTATCTATCTTTGATTATCGTACGTAACTTTCGACTTTTGAAAAAACCAGTTAATTTGCCAGAAATCTGTTTTTAATTTCTAACTGGTCACTAAATGTAGCAGCCGTTATATAATGTAAGAAGTTTTGTCAATATCGAAGATGTCTAGCATGTGCAACTTTATCTTCGAGTACCTATTACCTATACCTACACAATGACATTGTGATAAGTTTACGTACAAATAATGAAACTCAGACAAGATAGGTAGTGTAGTGCGTTTGACGCTGTGCAAGCACAGCCTCGCGAGCCACGGCCTTTGCGCAGGATTTCCGGCAGTCTGCACACGAACCCGAATAACCATGTTGAGCTAACAACGCTTCGTTACCTTACGGTATTATGTAGGTAGTTAAGCGAAAACGTCATAATCGACTCGAAACACTGATGATGTTTCTACTGTTTATCGAATTCGAGCATAATCACTTATTTCCATTTTCGTAATCGTCACTAGGTATAACATGACTCATTCACAACTGTATTAAAGTTCACAAACACGTAGAGCCTACATGGTTTCCTGATTGAGATAATGTGTGGTAGGTATTTATAGGAAACGCGTTAAGCAAAGCGATCAGTAGCTTCCTCACGTCTATTTCTTCACTTTCACTGTTCGACAATCAAGCGTTGGGATCGAGATTACTATTGTGTTCACATCACCTTCCTGTTGACATGTACCTAATAGGTGGTATTTGTGATTGCGTCATCAAATTTTCTGGTTATATTCGTTTTTATTCTTAGTAGGTTATATCTAGATTTTTTCCTACTTAAGATCAGGATATCTAGGTTCCTGCATACATATCTACCCGACTTAGACATATAATCCAGTGGTCATGGAATGGAGTAGGGTACCTGCTTACCGGTTTAGTGTAAAAGGTATGGGTATCAGCGAAGTATGCTAGGTTTACCCAGAGTTAGTGCGGTGCGAGAGTGCCCAATTAGAACCAACTAGACAACAAATGGACCATAATGCTTATTCGGCGTGATATAACTTAATTATAATAAATTTCCGCATTACTGTCTTCATTCTTATTAGAGTTATTCTATTACTAAACCACTGAATATGTATAGATATCTATTATTTGTCAACAACTTTCATTTTAGTATATGTATTCGTATTACAGAAAGCAGCCGGAATAAATAACGACAGTGACATAACTGTTACATATACAATATGTATAATTTTGCAAGACTTGCATTTTAGTTTATCTCTTCCACACGAATTAAAGGAGCATAACAAAAAACATACAGAACTAGCTCAGACAGGTTTGGTTAAACATTTTTCTCTCAATATTAAACCTTATTCACTGAAACACAAGTCTCATTCTTTAAAAGTGAATAAATATCCATAATGTTGCTCGAACGTCTCGTCGTCCTGAGTTTTAACACCGTAGAAGGAAATGACCACTTCAGCCTTTTGGCAATGACCTCTTGTTAATCGAAATGCCACAATCTTAACTTATTTACTTACATTCAAATTATATCAGTAGCTGTTCGTTTGTTACAAAGAAATAAACAATATTTTGTGTGATAAAACTGCCTTAATAAATATGTAGGTACATTAGAAAACTTGCACCACGCGTCTGATAGTGAAGTATATCTACCTACTGCAAAATATCTATTCATCTATTTATTTATTTACTTTACCTTTACTTTATAGTAAAAGTAGTTTAATTGATGAAATAATAAATTGTTTATAAATTAGCGAAGCTCAGGTGATTGTAAACATTTTATTAGGGGTTGCTTGACCTCACCTTTCCATATTCGGCGGTTCCAGCCCACTCACGCCGCCATTGATCTGCAACTTCCATGTCAATGAGTTGGTGTACTTATATCGTTTTTCGATAGTGCAGCTACACTCGGGAGCCCGGATTCGTTCGACAAAAGCGCACACGCACGTTCTCGCTGCGCGCCGGCGCGAAGCCTACTGCTAGTTGCCAGTCACCGCCACTGCCTTCAACGCGCGAGACGCGATACAGCCTCAGCCCACAAAATAAATTTAAATATTGCCAATTCGTCATTGCCTTCCGTTGACAAAAACCTACTTAATGTCAACGCCCACCGTCACTTTAAGGTACCTCCAACGTAGGAAGCAGCCCACGCTTAACAAAAGATAGGCTGGTATAGATACCTACCTACCTACTTGGTATATAGAAGCAAACAATGATTGAATATTGGTTAACTTAACAATAGGTACCTACGGTAAAATAAATAACTTAGTTCACCTACCAACTTGAAGTCAAGTAAATTAGTGTTTTTGGGAGATCCAATCTTCTAATTTCATACCTAGATACTTGCGGTTCCGTAAAGAACGGACTTTGCCTTCGAACACCTGAAGTGGAGTCATTAATATTTTAAGCCTCTCAAATCACTTGTTGAAGGGCTGTTACTAGTTGATCGTATCGAGAAATATTTTTTTTTTCTTTACCAAGGTAAAAAACGTTACTTAGTTTTTTGCAACCTTTGCCAAGTACAAGAATAATAACATTTTTTATTTTCCTTACGCAAGGCGGACCCCAGCCAGTTGAGTCTGTTGGAAGTAGCTTAACCCATTATCAACCTATGCCTTTCATGAATCCTTTTATTTATGATGATTATGATGGAAATGGGTCAAGTTCTCACATGCGTGTGGGAGAGCCATGCTTCGGCACGAATGGGTCGGCTCGACCGGAATGATACCACGGCCTCACAGAAAACCGGCGGCAAACAACCACAGCGTTGTGTTTCGCCGTGTGAGTGAGGTTGTCGGAGGCCTAATCCAACCAACAACCTTTATCCCCAAAAGGCCGCCAATGCATACGTAACTCCTTTGGTGATGCAGGTGTCCGTGGGCAACGGCGATTGCTTACCATCAGGTAATCCATCTGCATATTTACCGACTTGGATAAATAATGTTTGCTTTTGTAAAACCATTTCTTCCCCAACAGGCATAACAGCACATTAAATGTGGTAAGTACCTGTGTAAAGTACATTTAGTAAGTAAGTGGTAAGTACATTTAGTTAGTTATGTCAAGTCCCATGTTGTAAGATTTAGAGCACTTTGCATAGAAGACTAGTAGATGCACTTCAATACTGTTCAGTCTGTAATTTTTAATTTCCAGTTCTGACTAAATTAGTAATTAGAAAGTAAATATTTTGGGTAAAAATAAAATAAACAATTTCACATCATTAAGTCCATTAAGTATATTTTCCATTAAGTGGCAAAATTATTAATATTTTTTTCTGAGTTGGTTAACATACAGTTCTAGCAAACTATTATCACATTTCCTTAATTCTAGAATATCAAGAAAGGAATCATTTTTAAATTTATTTCTTGTATTTGCACCTCTTCGATACTTGGCAACAAGAACATCATTCTTTTGATTAATCGAACAAAAGTTATAAAAGATTTGTTGCTCGTAACTGCAACTTTTATTGATACCATTTTTGAAATATCTATAAAATAGCTGTTCTCCATAGTTACACATACTTTCAACCTCTTTCCATTCTTTAGGAGACAATCCAAATAAGTGTCCTATATCAGATCCTTTAACCAAACAACTCACTTGTCCTGATATGTCTGTAATTCTTATTGTGGCACATGATAACACTCTTCCCTTATAGTTGTTGATCTTTACGGAGTCTAGTGAATATTCAGTCAACAGACCCCAACCTTCTGTATTAAGCTTGAGCTGTTGTGTCTCAGTAAGTTTTAAGGGAACAATATTGTTATAGAATTTATCAATATGTCCTCTCTTGTTCATGGGAAAGATCGGTTGGTTTACGTATACACCGAGGAACTGAAATAAAAAATGTTTAGGTTACTTTCATTTCAATGTTATTCCCTATATCAACTCCTTGTGCAATAAACTAAATAATTCAAGTACTGGTTATATATATACTGGTTTTAAAAGTTTCACACATTCATAATATGGATAAATTGTATTATAATTAATATTTGAATTTGAAATTTGTTTGTTTACCTTACTTTCTTGACAATTTTGACTTTGACAGGATATGGGTGACTTCAATAACAATACTTTTCTAATGCTAAAATGTACTCTGTGACAATACTACAATAGTTATCAATAGTAGCATAAAGCAGACTGTACGTTCTAGTCTGAAATGTAATTATTTAACAAAAAATCTGCTAAGATCTTAGACTCAGAGTGTTACTTCTAAATTATTGATTAAAATATATTTTTGCCACATTCATTATTTGTCTGATTAGTGCGGGTTATCAATATCCTTGGAAATAAAACACATGTCATGTGTATGGCCAAAGATCATAATCACAGAACAGAAAATTAAGTAGAAGTGCCCCTACACTCTTTCAAAAGGAAAACCAGTGTCGCCAAAATCACACATTCGCAAATCAAATTGTCCATTACACACATAAAAAACAGCTATATAATTGGGTAAAAAGATGAAACGCAACTTTAGCGAGTCATCTTCAAAATGTTGTCAAAAATTGAGTCTTTTAACAATGAGCGAAAGTTGTTATCATTTCACATGTCACAATCAATAAAGGCGTCTATCGTGTAAAAAACTTAAATAAAACAATTTACAAACGGGTTCAGCCACTCAACGCTAGATGGCGCTGTAACAAATTCATTCTATCCAAAACGCTAACTTCTTTGAAATAGATGTCATATTTGTATGCACTTGTACCAATAGACATTTACTATTTTGCTACTCAGATAGGGCAGGGTATCCCAATATATCGATGTTTTTGTATTCGTGTGAACAATATAATTTATCGACACGATATACCTACAAATGATCAGTAATGAAAAAGGTTCTAATAGAAAAAAAAGAAAAATATTAACATACTATACATAGTATTTTTTGAAGATTTAATGTTTTTTGGAGATGGTCAAGTTATTATTAAAGATTTCGATTTTAACATATAAAAGCACTACGCGCTCCTACAAGTTTTATCTCCTTTCCAACTAAAATAGAATCATTAAAATCGGTTCATAAATAACGGAGACGAAAAAAACAAAAAAAAATGTTACAGTCGAATTGAGAGTCACTCTCCTTTTTGGAACTCTGATAAAAATCATGTACAACATCTATACTTATAATAAATCTGTAGAGGGGTCAATTCTGTACATTAAATATATTTTCAAAATAACTACCAGGGGGTGATTAGTGATCGATACTGATCCCAAAAATGCAATCAGTAAAAATTTTGTCTGTCTGTCTGTCTGACTGTCTGTCTGTATGTTCTTTATAGAAACAAAAACTACTTGACGGATTTTAACAAAACTTGGTACAATTATTCTTTATACTCCTGGGCAGGTTATAGGATACTTTTCATCACGCTACAAATAATAGGAGCAGAGCAGTGAAGGAAAATGTTGGGAAAACGGGAGAAGTTACTCCCTTTTGTAAGTTTCAGTCGCGTGTGTTACCTTAATGGTTAAACTTACATAGAAATTATGTATGACGGCAATATCTTAAATAAAAAAAAATGTTTTACAGCATATGTCTATCTTTTATGGTTAACTCACAATAGCACGTGTAACTCCTGATAGCTTAGCAATTCGGATAATAAGACATAGCGCCGTCGCAAGTGAACACTGAATCATGGTATAAGAATTATTTTTGTGTAGCGGTTGCCGTGCTCGACACGATGCGGTATAAAATATAATATAATATAGGTTTTATCAAATATTTGTAACTCTTACCTATTAGTTAGATCCGTACCTTTCTATCTATTGACGGACGGACTGCGGAGACTTAGTAAGTAATAGGGTATTTACCCATTGGAGATGTACCCGTAAAAATGAGACGATAAATACCAAATTTTATGTATACTTAGATTTTGTTCTATTGCTATTTGCTGCTTTTTATCAACACAGCACGCGGGCGAAGCCGGTGGCGAAAACTAGTTATAAAATAAAAATGGTGATTAACCACCCGCACCTGCCACAGACGGATGCACGCTATGTGTGGTTAAAACGTTGATGTGTCTATGCAATCTTAGTTAAACATTTATGAATTATACACAAAAATTGACAAAAATCAATTTTCTGAACGATGATGATGAAAAATTATCGATATGAACCTATTTTACGAATATGTCGCATCCCTAAATGAGTAGCGTCGAAACTACTAGAATGTATTGTATATAACGTCACATAACGAACAAGTAGATTTAAACTTAATTGTAATGAAAATAAGGCCCTTTATAGTTTGCATTGAAGTAATGAAATGTGATATTTACATTAAAATCAAATATATTTAAAATTAACAAAGGTTAATACTCAAAGATGATACGATACACCACCACAAGACTCATCTTTTTTTCTGCTTACTTTTTTGCAGTTGAAAACCGCACAACAAGGCATAATTTCTAATATATTTCGTGTTTCTTAGAGACAACCAAGACAACCAATCATGACAACGGATCGAACGATTCTGACAACAAATGTGCCAAAATGTTGTATATCTAGTCATCATGTTGGTTAGCGCGCGATGTTTGAACGGCACTTCCACTGTTTTTTCTATTCCGTGATCATAATTATAGACAACAAGATTGTGCACTATGAAATTCTTGTCAACGTGAAATGAATTTTACTACCATTTCAATAAAGTCGTTTTATCTTTTTTAACCATCTTATTAAACGGAAAAACGGGCTGAGTGAGATGCTCGTAAATAGGATTGCATCCTTGTCTAATGGGTTGCAACCGTAAAATATTTTTGGTGTAGTAGAATTTAATATTCTTTTACTCTAGCTTCAGTAATTATCGAAAAATAAAATCATCGAATTTAATATGAAAGATTATTTTTACACATATTTTGTTAAATTTTGTGTTGTTTTAAACCTAGTGAATTAGTGGTATTTGCTTGAAATTCGGCATTATGGTAGTAATTTGATGAGTGGTGTTGGGCGTACTACATTCTACTACTGTGATGTTTGTATTAAAAAAAAAACGAAGCAATGACTGCTTCGTTTTTTTCAGGGTATAAAAAATGCAAGTACTGAGTTCTATTACGATCACTCGACCATTGCGTAAAGACCCTGAAACTTCATCAAAACTACCGTGAGATGAAATTGAAACAAAGTGCGTTACACACAAAAGAAAATCACAGCGAATACGCGGAGAAAAAAAACCTTGTCTCAAAAGCTGAAAACACGAAATGAAAGAATTAATAACTTAAAATCATCGCTGAGCATCGATAACTATTTATGTTTACCATACTAAAATTATAAGTCAAAAACCTAGACCACTTGACTTAACGTTTTCTCGAAACTAAGGTATAAACTTAAACTTCTTTTTGACTAGCCAAAACTCGCAAGTCGACTCGAAACTTCGGGTCGCTTAAAACGCCTCTTTTTTGTAAAGCTTGTTGGGTAACAAAAAATGTATGGCGAGGGGTGTTTTTTACACTAATAAATGTGAAGTATTTATATGAAACAAATAAAAACTTTTGGATATAACTGTTTATTGTATTAATTATAACGACTTTTGTGCCATAAGCTGGGAAAATAATAGCTCAACCTGATTTCAAAGCACAAATAATAATATATTTCAAAATAAAACTGGACTAATCTATATTTTAAATGGGAGCTTGTTTCATAACGATTCCAATGATATAAGGTTTACATAAGCTCCTATACAAAACATTTGAGATATTGTCGGACTATCCAGAAAGTGGCGACACAGTTGCTTCGATTCGCACAAAATGGCCGCCACAGACACATACTCACGCCTGTTTCCCTATCTTACATGCATGCATTTATTTTACCTCGCAGTTATTAAAGTTATTCAATAATAGTATAATAAATGATATTTCGTTGGTTAGGCGTTGTCCGCGGAAGACGAAATCGTGTAGTCACTCTAGTAAAAAAGGACGCAATCCTATTTACGAGCCTCTCGCTCGGCTCGTTTTTTTGGCATAAGTCGTAGACAGAGAATAGAGGCTAAAGCTTTGGCTAAAGTGCACAATCTTGTTGTCTATATAATATCTTTGTCTATGGCATGGCTGTTTTTGACATTTCTAATCCTATTGTATGTCAATGTAAGTGTTAGGTTATATTTTGATTTCTTGACTTCGCTTTTTTAGCTTACATAACAACAAAGGTTTTGTGTAATTCGCTACAAAGACATCAAATTCAATGAGAATAGGCTGGGTTCACAAAGTAGTTAACAAATGGCCCGGGAAAAAGACTTTTGGGATGTATAGGTTTCTTCCTATGTTTTTTGTTCTTGGTGCTGCCTTGGAGTTTTCTATGATCAATTGGAAAGTTGGAGAAGTAAACTTTTACAGCAGTTTCAAGAGACGGCAAGCGCACGATATCGTTGAAGAAAAGATAAAGAAATACGCTGCAGCTTAAAATGCCAGCCGGGGTGACTTGGGGTCAGTACATAGCGTTTTCGTCAGCGGCTATGATATCTATGTTTGCAGGATCGCAAATCGTTCACCAATACTACAAACCGCTACGAGATTTGAATGATTATATTAACAGAGAACTCAAGAGCTTGCCTGATAATGTTCAAGAAAAAATTAGAAAAGAATTGCAAGATGAAGGAGTGTTGAGTAAAAGTTAGAATTAATATCTAACAGTAGTATTTATTTAATCATTTATATGTAAATAAAATGTAAAAGATAAAATTATGATCATCAAATGAATGCATTTTATTTATATCTATACTCCTCTAGAAAATTATTGAATCTGCCAGGTATTTGCAAATCAAATAACAATACAAGTCTGATAACCAAATCGTCAATTATGCGAATTGGTCTCATTAATTAATAAGTAATAAATCCCAATATTTTTCTTGAATCACAATAAGTTGTATAGGATATATACTATATTTCAACTTTTGCAACTAACTCTGAATAGATGCTCAAGTAAGTTATTATTCTAAGTAATGATATAATTTGACTTATTTAGTCTTGTTTGTTTGATTTTCTGGTTTTTTGACTATCCAATACAAACCTGGTTCCAATTTATTAAAACAGTTGATCACCAGCTGTTTTAATAAATTGGTTATGTTCCAGGTGCTGTTTAGGTATCTACTTACTTCTAATTGCTGAGGGATAGTAAAAAAAAAACAGCCAAAATAAATAAAACAATCATAATTATTTGTGAAATACAGCTTAGCTATAAATTTTGGTTCCACTCTTACATATAATATTTACAAATTACAATAGGTACTTTTAATTAACAATAAACTTTAATTCAATAAGTTATCTTAATTGTTATAACTACAAAATAGGCACTTATCAAGTCATCTATAATTACAAGATTAAAAACATATTCCATAAAAAAGTATACATAGGTATTAACAACTTATAGGTACTTTTAAATCTATTAAATAAATCAATCTGTCTCAGTATCTTGAGTATTGTGGGTTATTTGTTTAAAATTACATTGTGCGATTCTATCACATTAATATTCATTTACTAAAATTATACATAGTTTGATTATGTTGCAGAATCCTTCACATTAAAAACATCTTAATATTAGTTAGTAAACACATTTCTGATAGTATCTTTTCTACAATAAATTTTGTATAGCAATTATACAGCCGAAGCATAAAATGCAGTCTTTACAAGTGTATGAGATGGTCAATTAGGTCATCTTGCTGAATTCGAGATAGTTCGACGAATCCAGTCGACGTGCGAAACGATGGAGTCGTATATGCGAGGCCTACCCAACCCTATTTTTGAACAGGCAATGCGCCATCCGCTTACACCATTCAAGGACCATTGTTTTGTTTTATCATTATAGCACATCATTGAACTTCCTGCATATTCCTCTTCCTGCAAAATGAAATATTTGTTACAATAAAGGTATATTATGATCCCAACTCTAAAATTATATTAATAGCTTAGTAGGTAGCTTTTCAAAGTCAAGTAGAGTAGAGTAAAACTTGATAGAACGAATAATACAAAAATAGTTATAAAAACTGCAGTGTAAATGTACATTGCGCAATAAATACATTGTATATTGCCAGACTACGTGCTGTAACTATATTTTTAACAACCCAATAATTATTTCTAGTGTACGAGAATTATAATAGACCAACGCGTAGTGTATTGTATGTCCACATCAGAAAATTAATAATTACTTACATCACAATCGTCCTGATCATACAATGGTTCAGCACATATTCCATTTGCAGTGGCAATGCTCATATTTTCGCAAGAGTTCATGGGACTAGCCACCACATGAACTCTTTGCAGTTGATCTTTATTTCTGGACCATCCAAGCGTGTTGCAAACATTGGGTGAAGTGGTTTCTACACCATTCTCAGGTAAACATATAGGTCTCACGAAGTCAGTCATCTCTACTGGCTCTTCCAGTCTTACCAGAGCTAACATGCTGCCCTCTACAGGAGATCGAACCATCCCAACTATCCGTCTTTCCTGTTGCCAGGGTGTCGTGCTTTGTATTCGTACAGTCCCAAACCTAGCAGTCCATTCGGCTTTCGGTTGTCCCTGTAACAGTATCACGTGTCAGTTCTTACAAAAGTACCTTTGATAAAGGTCACCTCCTAGGCTTATATAGGTAGGTAGGAGTTTCTCCAGAATGCTGTTAGCGAAGACCTTGAACTGATAGGTAGTTACTTACTTGGAAGCATGAAGCAGTTGTGATAAGCCAGGAAGGATGTATCAGTGCTGCATCGCAGGCGTGCACGTGTGTCCGCAGCAAGGCAGCGTGCCACGGCCAGTCGCCGGGCCGGGCGGACCGCGGGAGTCCTTCCACACCCGCGGACGCAACACCCCGAGCTGATGTTACACCACATTCTGTGCGTAACAATCAAAATTGTTAAATATTTGTAAATTTATGCTGCTCCACTTTGCAGCAGTTTTGGTGTTTCACTTACCCAAATGATCACAAATGACTTTTATAACTTTTCTTTCGGGACAATCGCTTTTCAGGAACGATATTTCTGGAGCGAATGGGTCCACTATTTCAACGTACTGCGGCTGTTCTATCTTTGGATCTAATTCATCCTGTTCTATTTCTTCAGCGTCTGGCACTACTTCTGCGCTAAATGCAGCCCTGTTAATTATTAATAATTTATTAGTTAATTACATTTAGGTATGTAGCTGATGCGCCCAATGCGTGAGCCACATAGCACACACACCACTAGAATGGTTCACATTTGCTTACCCTTTAAGGGAATAAGGCGCGATGTTACTTATGTATAATGTACGCTTGTATTGGCAGCATACTTACAGGTATTTTATCATCAATTAACTAAGTACCTAACTACAGATAAAAACCACCATGCAATAGCTTTGTGTCGTTTCGTTGTAAAACTTTTTATTAAGTACCTAACATTTGATGAATGCCATCGATTGTAGCATGGCAATTATAAACGCGTGAATAGATTGGAAGTTATTTTTTTTGAGTAGGTAGCTGCACTACTAACTACCTCTCTTGTATAGTTTAGCTATTTGCCTATGTACCTATAAATACCAACTTTTATAGATCTGTAGATCAAAAATTTGTGAAAGATATCAGTTTTTACATCAAATAACTCAATAAGTAGGTCGGTAAGACATAGCAAATAACTGACTTGAAAGTTAGCGCTTTACAAAGAGAAGCAGCGACGCTGGTGAGGGCGCGCTTGTCATGCTCGTAGGGCGCCGCGCAGATCTTGCCGTCGCGACCGCCCTCCGCCCACACAGCATATCCGCTACGGCTACGTATGGCACCTAGGGTCGTTTCACTGTTCTCTCGTCGCCAAGATGATAGGGATCGAGCAATCCACACTGTAAAATGATATACCTACATTTAAATACGATTTTTGAACAAGAATGATATAAAAGGCAGTTCAGTAACCTACTTATTTTTTAGTTTGTCGTAAATAGAGCACAGATGTGACAAAGATAAATTGTAGAATTTGATTCTATAATGAGTTAAGTTTGATTAATTTTTATAAATTAAGGTTATAGAAATCTTTAAAACATAACTAAAATAAACATACAGCATCCAGCTTCATCACTTCCGTCAGGGCAGTCTGGAGTCCCGTCACACCGCAGGTGCGCAGGCAGGCAGCGAGTGTGCAGGGCGCAGCGCAGACCTCCCTCGCCTGCTCCAGAGCAGTGTGCACAACTACGCTCGTCTTCTGCACCCGCACAATCAGGAATGCCGTCGCACTCCCTACGAGACAGCGCTAGTCTTTGTAAGCCCCTAGAACATTCTGGAAAAACAAAAACTATGAAAATGCATTCAAATACTTGATGTAAATCGGAGATATATTCTCAAGCCATATTCAAGTAGGTAAGAATTACTTAATAGATTGCCTTACCAGGTTCAGGGGAGCAGGATCCTTTGCCGAAGTAGTCTGGGAACCGTGCGCAATCGAAGTGTGGCCGTAGTCGATCTGGTAGACGTGCACCACAGCCAGCGTGGAACGCACGACAATATGCTCGACATGGCCGGACCAGGCGGTCCTCCGAACACCGAGGTTGGAGCATTTGACATACGAAGTCCTGAAAATTATGGCAGTGGTGTCAAACATGTTTGAAGCTTCGGGACTCTTCTAAAATAATATGTGGATATTAAAATATAATAATAAATATCAACATAATGTTAAACAGATTAAATATTAAATATCGAATCCGAATATATTGCCGTAAACCTTATGACCTTACGTACCTGTGCAAGATGGGAACATTCAGCGTCAAGAAGTTCCCTGAACGCCACAAGGTCTCGCATCAGCGCGTCTTTAGACGTGTGCCCCACTAGATTAGGGTACGATGTGCTATTGTACGGAAGGTGGGAGCAGAGCGGTAACGTCACTGCGGAGCACTCTCTGACTTCCTCCACGGCATCAGGAGTCACTGCTTCGGTCGTGGGAGCTTCTATAGGCGTTGTTTCTGTCTCTTTTAATTCTAACGACGAAATCACAGAGCTCTCCTGTAACATAAGGTAGGAACCCTTTACTGTGGAGGAATATATCTGCAAGAAAACCTTTACTAAGAAATATTTTGTTAGTAGAGATTTATGTTACCCATATCTCATTATGTATATGCACATTTTATAAATTAAAATATTTAAAAGGCTTTTCAGATGTTTCACATATATGTATATTTTTCAGTGTTTCCAAATATATTGTTCAGTGTACCTATTTAATAAGTAGATGCATGTTTTCATAAGTAGGTAGGTATATCTATTTACAATTATCAACTTACATATTTAAACTATCTACTGATTTGGAATGTAATGTTATGCTGTATGTTCTTTAACCTTGACGGATAGAGGCTGCTTATTTTCCGTTCTATTTATTTTTCACCTTGTTATTGATATTTATATTTATGTAAATAATATAATTTTGCCAGTTGTAACCTACGTAAAAACCTTAGGATTATATAATGTAGATTGTATGCCTTTATCCCTTGTGTAGTGTCAAGACAGAAATAGGTATGTGGGACATCTGCGTAATAGGCGAATAAATGTGAAGTTAGAAATTAAATAATAAGCATTTGCCGAGGTCAGATCAGCCACGAAACATCGACATAGTAGCTCGTAGTTAAAAAATACCACCCTACAACAATGAGAACACTAAATAGGGAAAGGTTTGTCTAAAAGAAAAAAAATATAATACACCCATGATAAGCTGGGGCCATAAGGCCATTAAAATGTGTAGGTACCGTCTACGTATGAGTTCAATATACTTAAATGTCGTTACATATATATGTATTGAGTCTCGATTCTTTTATTCATATAAAAAATCCCATAGTTCATTGTTTTTCGCAAACAATATAATACGAACGAATCAGATAACTATGTTAATTCGGCGGGGTTACTGCCCCGCTGCTATGCACTTCAAGAGCAAGATAAAAATAATTTGAACATTAAGTATTTAACATTCGCAAGAACAGTAGGTACACCGGCAAACATAATGAAACGTTAATAATACATTTACATAACCGCACAATTAGCGTGGACCAAGTGGCTATGAATAAGAATTTGAAATTTGATTGCAATTTGTATTATATTCTAAAACAAGATTTGGAAATCCTATCTAGATATTTGCAATTTGTAACTAAAGAAGAACGATTGTGAATTTGTGTAAATAAAGATCATCTACCGTTAAGACCAAAGAGTTTCACAATGTGTTGCTTACCTTGCTATTTAGCGCTGAAATCTAGCTCGCCATGAGGAATTCGAGATGCTCACATTATAACCTCATTAATATTGTTCAGCGAAACGCTAAATTAATAGAAAGTAGCGCATTTACTTAAATATGGTGATTCCGTCTGGTATTGTATTGATATCTATACATTTAAAAAGTTACTTCCGTGAATTTATTACGTAATTTCATTTTAATTTTGAAAATATTTAACAATTTTTGACTTTGGCAAAATTCTAGACTTTTTTCTCTTTTAGACACCAATAATTATAAAATATCAATGTGTAGGTACATACATAAATACAAATAATTATGTATGCACATCGATATTTTATAAAAGCGTCATATTGAGACGTACCTAAACACTACAACAGACCCACCGGTTAGGTTATCATTATGTAGGTACTAATGCACCATCCTATGCTTGTTTAGTTAATTATTTATAACTGCTATGTTTGAAGTAAAAAGCGCGTGAAGATAAGGTAATGTTATAAGGTGTTAACTGATCCACTTACCTCGATATGTAGTGTCTCTGGTAGCGTGGTTATTTTGCTGAAGTATGCAGTCGGCTCTGTGAGTGCCCGTGCCAGCACTGCCGTCACCTCCGCAGTACTTACGGCGGTGAAGATCGGCTCGAAAGATACCTCAAAGTGCACGCGCATACCTTCCTCTGAACTGGAATGAGTAATTAGAAATAGTGCCGTCAACATCTATAACACATCTTTCATTTGTAGAAGAAGAATACAGAGCAGATATGTAAATACTGAACTGGCACCTAAAGGTATTATTGCTCTTAGTAAAAAAATAGACAAACATGTTTAGCGGCTAATTACGTTATGGGAGCCACCGCGAACGAATTCAGGATCTCTGCTTCATAATGAAATCAAATAATCTACATAGATAAATCGCATGTCAAATTCTAGGTCCCTTCCTCGCAATTCTGTAGTTAATAAAATGGCTTAGTTTTGTACCCACTGATACCTAGGCTGATTATCAAATGGGTTTACCTAGTTAGTAGTAGCCAGCTAACTAGGTGCCTTGGTAACAGCGTCTCCGGTGCGCTGCGGCGCGGCGCTCTGCGGTCGCCGCGCGCCGGCTTGAGTATCTATTGTAGCTATTGTATTCCATCTTATCTTACTATTTGTCTTATTATATTTGTCCCAAGCATGTAGATGAAAGATTGGTATTAAAGAAAGTTGTGAGAAACTTGTGAAATTTCATAAATGTATCTGCTTACTTGACAAAACTATTTGGTGTTCAATTAATAAAGACTCTAATTAAAAAAAAACACATAACAAATATAGGATTTAGTAGTACCTACGTACCTACCAAATAACAGATTTTCCATCTAGAATCTTATTACCTTATTCGTTAGTTTTATAACTACCTACACGTAAATAAAATGATCGTCTTTCTTTTATTAATGACTTTGGGAGTTAGCAGTTGTTATGTTAATTGGTATCACTTAAACATTCATTGCGCAATAGTTACGGTCCGTAAATAAAAATTTTACTAAAAAAAAACTATTAGAGGCAAGAAAAGTGGAAGTCACGTAAGATATAATAAAATTTAAAAAGATTTGGAGCAACTACTTATTGGCTCATCAAATCTGTTTTATGCTTCCGTGTGCAAAATCTTGTGAGAATGTGAATTAAGTATTTAAATAACATTTCAACAGCTGCAGGTTCTCAGGGATGTGCACTCCTGTCTGTTTATGACATCATCTGTACAATTAAAACTTAACGACATCTCATTTGATCTCATTTATGTACCTAGTCACCTACTTTTTCATATTCATTTAATATTTTGAGAATTCTTTTTCAGCTTTGTAAAGTTATCTACTTATTATAATATCTCTGTGTAAGCAGGTTTTCGTAAAGGACATCCGTATAGATGACCAGGATTTACAGCAAAATATTCGTGTAGCCTACCATCGTAACATAACAATTTCTCAATTTGAATTCTACTCGCAAAAAGAAAGGGCCGGAACATAAAACATTTGGAACAACCTTCAATGTGGATTACCTACATAGCACACAACGTGCGTCGCATAGAAAGTACTACCGAAGCTCTGAAACAAAGCACGTATCGAACTTTCTTGTGACAGATACATAGGAACAAAGTATCGTTAGAAACTTTACTTTTATTTTATAGGTACCTACGCTATCAACAATATGCATTAAAAAGTAAAAGTTGTTTTATATATGTATGTACTTATAAAAAGACTCGATTTCCATGACGGCCAATAGCGAAACTGCGAAACTACTTACGATATGTGTTTACAAAAACTGAATTCCTATGTCCACTTTGTATCTGATTCATGCAGGTTGGTAACTACCGGTAGAGAAAAATGCGCATGGTTATTTCGAAACCGGTTGACTAAAGTACCCATAGTAAGTACTTAGACAATTTGAGATCTTGATGTGTTTATTCATCTAATCATATTTACCTTTCTTTTCAAGTTCCTTTCCTAAGTACTAAAGCGTCATAAGGCACAACTGGAAATTGTAGCGTTTTACTAAAACGGCATGCGCACTGCGCAGTCGCATGCTCGATTACAGACCTCTGAGATTTCGAGAAAGTTTACTTTCTCCATCCATCGGTAAAGACATTACTAGTCAACACACATTAACATAATATTAATTTACATATAGTTTATAAAACTTGGAAATTATTCAGCTTCATTAACGAAACTGTCTGTATTTTTTGTAGTTTGAAAGGATTTTATATGTATTTGGCCATGATCCAAGCTGCTTTTGAACTGGTTTTAAAGGTGTATTTGTTTAGCTTCATTGAATCTGCAGTGTTCAAACATTGATAGGAGAGATCAAAAAAGTTACCTATATCACTTAGGTGTAGCAAATTAAACATTTAATTGTTTCAATTTACGATAAAGATGGAGCTTTGATCGACGGCTTTAAAAATTCAATAGTCAAGTAGACGTTAAGTTTCAACGAAGCGAGACTGTAATAAAAAGCTAATTGTGAGGCGTGTATCGCTTCTTAATAACTTAATTGCATTGTTATTTTTGCTGCCATTTCGTTTTTAATAACAATTTCTTTTTGTTGTCTTCCATTTTCCTAGACTGCAATATTAGACCTCCCACTAAGTATCTTTAAGATTTTTTCTTACTTAATGAGATATCTTCAAACCAAGGTTAAATTAACAAAGGAAAATAGGATACTGGTACGGTTGTCACCACACAAATATGTAGATGAGTTTAACCATAAAAATATTTATATTATTTGCGTTTCTATCATTGATCATCGACAAATGCCGGAAACAAAATAATATGAAGTGCATGACGTAGCGTTTAAGAAAAAACCACTTAGTATAAATTAAGCTCACCTGTCCAAAGCCAGTATGTCGGCAGAAACAAAACACGACTTCAATTCAGAATTCAAATATAAGTTGTACAACGCCTGTTGCAGTTCAGTTTCACGTGTCCTGTTGGCTTTGGGTTCAAGGTCGTTGCCCTTCTCGCCCTCGCTGACTCCCCACGAGCTTACGACGAAGGATCCCCGGAACGTTTGCCGGTTAAGGGGGTCGCCAAACAGGTACATGTCTGTAAATAGGAATATCATTATTGCTTAGTCGTACGTACCTAAGAACATTGAAGAATAAAATAATGTGTGTTATTTTCGTCGTTGTACCTGCCTACTTTTCCTTGGAGTTTATCTAAAAAATGTTTTTAAAGATAACCTGTCTTTGTTATGGCTTAATGCACGGAATGCATAGTAACGATCGTAATTATTGTAAAGTGAACTTGCAAGAATCCTTTACCTTTACGAAAAAGTAGATGAGCGAATTTAAGAACATTAGTAACAACTAGAATTTCTCAATGAATATTTCTGGCTAAAAGCCAGTCTTCTTGTTAACTAAATGTCCTGAATAAATAAAGTGAATTTGATGACCTCCAAGTCACGCAAAATGTGTTCATTGAAAAAAATATTAGCTTTTAACACATCCAGTGCCCCCGACGCGTTTGTGCGTTTCCTTACGCTACTCTGTGTGCCCTCGACGCACATGTGCGTTCTATACATTAAAAAACATTTCTATTTTTGACTTGATCTTAGCGAGCCTGCTAAGATGCGAATTGGCCTTGAGGTATTTCCGTCTGTAAGTATTAAATCCTTTAATCGTCAATATCCAGGCATTATACGCGGACCTTTCAATACTTAAATATCAGGGAAGGTTGTCTGGGCAATAAAGACGAACCTCGATAAAGTATCGAGAAAAGTAAAAGAATCGAAGACACAGACCTGCGCAGGTAAAACAACAATAAGTTACATTTGGATTCGGTCCAATTTTGCGCAGTATTTGGAATTTATATTATTTTAGCTGTTACGGTACACGGGGCGTTGTTTAAATCAGCTCATTATAGTAAAATATTTGATAGCGGTAAAATTCCGTTGGGGCAAGAACAATTACAATAAGACATTGCGGAAGCAAGGGAAACGGAGCACACAAGATCACACAACCATAAAATATTGGCGATAACGTGATACAGACACATGTTATATAAATCCAATAATATCTATTGCAATCGATACAGGTAACTAAGTTTGTAGTATCGCAAGTCACGAAATTCGCGGAAGTACAATCTCTTTTCTTTATCGATAACTCTCAGGCGTTAATAGAGGTGATCAAGTTTTATTTTCGTGACTGTAACAATCAACTAATGCGCTGTGCATGGCTTTAGTTCTAATAATTATTAAAATCACATAATTTTATAGGAAGTCTTGGTATCTAATTAGAAGAAAATTAGGTAATAGCCGGTAAATAATTATTATGATAGTGATCAATTAATATGGCCGCATAGTTAATAACGTGGCTGTTACAAGGAGTGCACTTGTCTCCGCGGCGGGCTTGGCAAGGCCACACTGCTCAATGGCCTTTGCTGAGCCGGTGACGGGCAAATGTCGCTCAGTTTACACCTCTAGCCTCTATTGAAACCAGATACTTGATACCCACTGTTTACTAACAAAAGAATCTAAATCAAATTATAGTTAGGTATTCCGCACAATAATCCGATGAAAGGCAAAATAGAATTACGACATGACTATTCTATCGATAGCTAGGTACCTATTTGTATCGAATCAATTTCTGATTATATCGATCCAATTGTAATAGAACTAATGTCAATGAATTTTGTAACCATTCCAAAATATTAGGAAACTTTATACCGAAAACACACGTCATGTCCTATCTATACTAATATTATAAAGAAGCAAAATTTTTAAGGTTTTATGTTGGTAAGTTTGTTAGTTTGTATGTAGGGGGTAATCTTTGGAACCACTGGTCAGATTTACAAAATTCTTTCACTGACAGGTAGCTACAATGTTCCTGAGTGCTTTAAGCTATAAAACACACAAACACGCTACGATTAAATGGAGCCGAGCAGCGCGTCACAGTAGCTAGTATATTATAAACGATGTTTGTGTTATGATAGATAGGTAACTGTAGAACTATACCACTTACAAAAGCTACCTGCCTAAACTATAGGTACACAACACACATACATAGTTTGTAAGTACTAACATGTTCATAGGACGCAAACTAATTTGTCTAAGATGTTTTGCAACTCAGTCCTTTGGGTCAGGCGTTGAGTAATGTTACCATTTATGGTTATACGTGTAGACTTAAATTACTCGGAATGTCTGACAAAATTGCTGCAACATTCGCTTAAATTCATCCATAGCTAATGCCAGTTATATATTTATTTCAAAACTGCACAATCGCGGCAGGTGTTTTTGTTGCCACGCGTTTAACGTGCGTTGGAACGGAACAACCGCCTTATCGTCAACGTTTTATAGGTAGGTGCTTAAATTTGATATTTACAATCAAACGATAGCAATAACTAGAGGAATGCAACTGTAAAAATTCGAATAATAATCCTTATAATTTTCTTTTTCTTCATTTCAAGTTACTTGAGACATGTAGGTACATCATGTTTCCTTCTTTGACAATAAATAATAATATCGATAAGAAAGGTACTTTAGTACTAAAGTAACAGGTATTAAATACTTTGCTCATAACACTTACGTCCAAGGTACACAGCAACTGCAGCTAGCAGTAGTAGCACAAGAAGCGAGGCTAGCGCAGCACAGCAGCCACGACAGGGCCGGCTCAGCTTGCGTCGTGTGAACCTGATGTCACTGCTCACTGACATCGTCGACTCCGGCGCACGGTGTCGCACACATCGCTGGTTGCCATTCCGTGACCATCCGTATTCCAGCTACAAAACAGAGATGGACATTAATCACTTAGCCCTGTTAGGACATTTATTACAATAATCCCGTTATGACTTGCAAATATGAGCTAAGTGTGGGAGAGTAATACTTTGGCACGAATGGGCCGGCTCAACCAGAGGTATAGGTCCTATTTAGGTAGTTCTTTTTAAAATAACGTAGGTGAACAAAAGGACATTTTATAATATCACAAATAAAACGAGGCTAGTCAAATTAGCTATCGTAACAAGTACTACTACTGCAATAAAAATCCAGGAAATGGCTATTTCACGTGAAAGCATTATATAACAACATGCCGCGTAATTACTATTGTGACACATAATAAGTGTATGTTATTAAGTAAGATTACTAACTTGTGTAATTACTTGGCAATACTACTAGTGCCTATGCTATGTGTACATAGAAAAACAAAAGAACAATGTCTTTTAGATCTTACTTTTTCAATTATACATATCAAGATTTTAACGTTTCTGGAAAGCGTTTTGCAACTGTGCTTCTTAGTGCCTCCTTTATGTATAAATTAGACCAGATTACACAAATCCGCAGTAATATCCATTACTAATGAGCAAGGTGTATGAACATATTATTCATTTCACTTCAAGTATATAATATAATTAATATAGATTCAGTGTTAAACGTGGCACTCGTCACTCGTGACAATACGCTTTAAGTAGAAGATTGAACGATACGCTCCGTCACCTTTTGTGATCCGTATTATTCCGTGATCTGTTTAACGTCGAAGCAACTAAGGTTCTAAAGTAATTCTTTGTTAAACAAATTACGTTAACAGTCTTGTACAACAGTGGTGGAAAAAGATAAATCCAACGTAGACGATGATTTATTGCGACCGCAGTTTTTCATCAAGAAAGTTCATGTTGACAACACACAGATGACTGCTCAAGCTTAACACGTTCACTTCCCATTTCCTGATAAAAATTGCGGTGCAAGTGTGTTTTGCGGACTTTTGCGGCATACATATTGATTTGTGTTAGTTACATATCTTTTAATTGCTACGTTACGTGATTGGGTAAGTAGGTGTCTACTGATTGTCGCTTGCACCCAAGTTAAAGCACAATAGACTGTACATATACACGTAAGTTTACTTAAACTTCCTTAATCTTTAATTATTGTGATGTAAATGGTTACAAGAAGTATATGCAGCAATAGATAGTTAAATATTTTTTGTTTGAAAATTAATATAAAAGTTTTGATTTTTTTACAAAATATTAGTTTTGTTTTGGGCGTTCACGTAGCCCATCCTGCCCTAATACATTTGCTACGATTCGGTAGCTACCATCGATCACTAATAAAGAACTAATTAGTGATCGATGGTAGCTACGCGTAATTAAGAACTAGCACTTCATACATAATATTTTGAATCAAATGACGTATATTTATTTATTCGATTCCTCTATGTCTATCGTATATAGTAAACATCGATTGAATTGATAGGATTTAATTAGGATCTGTTTAGAAACAAATGAAAATCAATAAATTTACAAAGAGATTACATTTGTTTACTCTCGTGCCGTCATGACACGACACAGGTAACTTTAGTGAGTCAATTAGATAATAAACTAAACTTACTAGGTGTGTCTTCAAAACCTGCCTGCTAGCCTACTAAAATAAGAAGCCGTTTTCAACAAAGTCACGCATACTAACAACACAAGTACAAGTCGAAATGATGGCGTATGTAGGTACCTAATAAATAACAGTTATGGCATTTATTCGTATCTAATAGGCATAGCATTATTTTTACGTGATTATAGTATGGTCAAGTAATGTGTTACACGCACATCATTTGTGTTTATTGAACATACTTAGAGGTGGCGTGACGAAATGCCTGCAAACGTAGACGGGTAGGCGAACCTTACATTTCAAATATGCGACGATATAGTGATGCGACGATTATGAGATATGTTTTTTTTAAAAAAGTATCCATTTCCGCATTTGTCAAGAGTTTATTGGAAATAAAACGTCATTAGTGGCGGTCATAATCTGCAGTTCGTGACAGGCTAGATGTTATTTAAATGAATAAAATGAAAAAAGCTTTTTCATTGGCTTTAAATTTAATTGATCTAACTCAATCTTTACAATTAATTAGATATAGAAAGATATGATGTTTTATACTAAGTTTACGTTAAAATCAAACGATTTCTAATGTATCTATGCTTTTAAGAAATAATAAACATGATATACGCCTTGTTGTCCTTCCTACGCACAATGATCATCCTTGGTATCTACCTGTGCAACGTATTGTGCATGCTACGTTCACTATTCAAGCAAGACTTATCCTGACATTGATAGAGACAACAGTTAATAACAAATATTATGTTTGCATGCTTGATTTGCACGACGACACGAAACGTCTATAAGTACCTACATAACGGATAACTATTAAGCTTGTTTAAGTACTAATTAACTTAATAAACTTAATAGTGAATAAATATTGTATTATAGTAAATAATTGGCAGGCATCAATTGACGCCGACGTCCAATTATAGTACTCTAAAATATTAAAACATCTAAGTAGGTAACTCATATTTTCCTTTCAATAGCCCAATTAGCGTATACTTATTTCAAAAATACTACATAAGAGTGTGTGGAAAATATTAATTGTTACTTATAAGAAGTATTTATGTTGTAATCTGCTGATAATAATGTTGATTACTGGCGAAGTTGTTTCGTTTCGAGTAGTGTCGTAAGGTACATTACTATTTCTCCGTAGTCGAGCTCTAGATTTCAAACAGCGAGAAAATAGTTCGGTTGCGTCAACGGAATATGCTGCAGGCTGCAGGTTAACATTCGAACTTTAAAATGCCATTTCGGATTCAATTACTTACTCTATTGTGTTTATTGCAAAGGTTACGTAGACTACTATTTACAATTAACATTCAAGTTATTATTAGTTCACTTCACAACGAGCCAGACGTGGGTAGAGTAACCTCTACCTGTAATAACTAACAGGACAAATTAAATTTATTTCAAATATGTAATTATATTTTAATAACATCTGCCTGGAATACTTATTTTCACAATAATTAAATAATCTTGTCTGATCGTCCTCACAATTTAATCTCAAGGTAATGATGTGACTGACTGTAACAGCGAACTATTATAGTAAGTATAACGCTGCTTGGTTTACTGTTACTGTAGTATTGCACCTAATTTCCTAAACCTAAACGTTGAATAACGAATCTGTCACAAACAGAAAGGAAAGTTCAACGTTGGATGGCGCAAGATGTTTTCAAAATGTTTCTATGAAAATTATAATAAAATTTTAGAGTAAGTCAGTCTCAATGAAGGGGGCTTGCCGTTTAGCGACCACAAAAGCGTGACAAGTCTGACATACAAATGGCATTTGGACACAAACGTGCCGAACAAAGATAATATTTTGAACATTTCAAGCGAACAGTTCCTTCTCTGTGGTAGGACAAGCAAGGTCAAGCTAGTTCGAGAGCGGATGAGGAAAGCTTTGTATGTTGTGTGGTGAAACTTTAAGTACCTACTTTGTTTATGAACTTTAAGCGGGAGTATCTATAGCCTTCTTTGTGGACGAAAAATCATGTTTTCAGCAATAAGTTTTCAACTGGTAAGTGCTATGCTATTATAAAAAACATCATTTAGCCGATGCATAGGAAATCTAATCATTTTTCCGCTTACCAGCCCTAGTTATAGAGGAAGAATCCTTTACATCATACAACTAAATTCACGGATAATAATGACTTGAAAGAAGTTGGCTATAGTATTAGTTTCTAACCTTAATAATAGGCACCATTAAGTAGGTACACACTGAATACGTCATTATCGATTATTATTAAAAAAAATGTTACCAAGTAAAGTACTAAAGCTGTATTTCATAGCCATTACAAAAGAAGTGGAACGTGTTTCTCTTTCACATTGATTTATTTGGTGTGTTTTCGATTAGATACGTACTTACGACTTATATAAACACGGGTACAAGAATTTCCACGTTTTGTTAGCAAAATTATTAGGTATATCAACAAAAGGACGCTCTTTCAGTCCTTCCCTTTTAATAACATTTGTTTTGTAAGTTCAATAAGGTGAGCTAAAAATACGTAAATCATGTCACATGAAAGACTGAACATTGTGTCACATTTTTCCCCTCGTGCGACCTTCGTCAAAAACAGAAAATTAGAAAATAAATTCGTCCCTCCCTAATACCCGCTTATGTGCTTGTTTATTCACAAATGAATAGAACCTCTCTAATGTAAATACATACTACATAATCGATCAGACAATAAGCACTCCACATTTTACAAGGATATAATATCAAAAGTTTACTACATATAATGATGTATGTATGTATGTAGGTACCTAGCTCCTTACTGAAAACATGCTATTCAGACAACTTGAGTAGTTTTCACCGCTTTCTAAGTCTTATTCTTTTCGGAATGAAAAGAAAAGAAGTGGTTCTCTCCGTATTATTTCTCGTCGCCGGAGGACTCCGGCTCGCCCCTGGCCGCAGTGCACGAGTGCCTGCCTAGTTTGCTGCGTACAATGCGCGTGCAACGAGCAGCGTGCACTTGTCGTGACCTACATCCCGCCTCAGCCTCACGTTTTTGCTTGACGCTGCAACAACAAAGCCGACTCGAGCTCACTCCGCGCTACTCCGCCTTTTCGCTGGTTTCTATTAAGATCTCTAACTTTAACAATGCGGACGCCCTCACTTTCGTTCGGTACGTGCTCATTTGCAGATAATGGCGCTTATTGCGACCGATGGCTAATTTAAACTTCAATGAGGAGCGCCCACAGCGACAGATAACATTTTGTTGACAGGAAGATAACTGTGACTGATGTTTCTGCATACATAATAGATCTGTTTGGTTGTTTACAAATAATTTGGGACAAACTTTGTATTACAATTCACGCATACAAAGAAACAAGTACGCGTGAAACAAATTGGCACTATCTACCGGTAAAGAAAGCAGTAAATAAAATTAAAACAGAAAGGTGGCTGTGAAAG